GTGATGACCTTCACTCTGGTGTTGAGTGGTGACCTTCAATCTGGTGTTGAGTGGTGACCTTCACTCAAGTGTTGATTGATGACCTTCACTCTTGTGTTGAGTGGTGACCTTCAATCTGGTGTTGATTGATGACCTTCTTTCTAGTGTTGATTGATGACCTTCACTCTAGTGTTGAGTGATGACCTTCAATCTGGTGGTGACCTTCACTCTAGTGTTGAGTGATGACCTTCACTCTGGTGTTGAGTGGTGAACTTCACTGTAGTTTTGAGTGGGGACCTTCACTCTAGTATTTGGTGATCTTGTTTACTTCTAATGTGGTAGTGTCCTTGACTTCTACTTTGGGTTACCTTTAATTTTGCATTGGGTGCTGACCTTTCAGGGTTTCATCAAGGTATTATTTGAGATGGACCCTGGGTCTAATTTTGGAATATCATTAGCAAAAGCAAGACAATTTCTATATTAAAAGTTAAAAAATTTGAAATGAATACATTATCCAATTGTTTTATCAATTAAAAAGGTCTTATTTGCTACATCTTATATAATTTACCTGGACAAATTGGGGAAAATAGGGCCTGTTTTTAATTGGGAATGAACGTTTGTAACTGTAAAACCCTGCCTTTACTCTTGTATGAGGACAAGTTATTAACAAGAGTTGTTGGAGAACAGCATAGCACGCCTATTGGTGGTAATTGTTGTAAGATAGCAAATATCAATAGAAACACATGTACAGTAAAACCTCGTTATAATGGCCATCATTTTATTTGCCTCCTAGCTTACCACCAACATATTTTCGGGTCCATTGATCATGATTTTGTTTCAGAATTCCTTTGTTTCCAAACCCCTTGATAATGCCAATATTTCTTTGAACAAATGGTGGCAATACAACAAGGTTTTGCTGTACCTTAAGCTGTTATTGGCCCCTAAAATATGAAAATATGGTTCAGCACATTGCTAACACTCCATATAAATACTTCAACCTTATAATAGACAACAGCCTATTGATGGTGGTGATCCAACATTTCACAAAAAAAAAGGGCCAAAATCTTTAACCTCAAGCTTGCCCAAAAACTTAAATAAGTCCAATTAACCAGTTTTGGCCCCTTAAATATGAAAATATGGTTCAGCACATTGCTTACACTCCATATAAAATCCTGATTTAGCCCCCTTATTCTCCAAATAGGCGAGCTAAAAATGTTGGAATCTACATACTGTTATATTGGCAGTGGCATTACAGTACATAGGTGTGGCGCATGTTTCACTTTTTGCTTTGTTTTTATAAACATGTAAATATGACCTTATAAATAACTACGACACTGAGTTTAGGGTGAAACAGACTTTATTGATATTATCGTAACCTCAAGTATAGAATGGTGTAAAGGCACCTCAAACTGACCTAGAACACATCTCTGTTGTACCTGTATCATCTCTGCTGTCGGAATATCTAACAACAAGTGCTTGTTCTCATCTCAGCACAACTGTTCTGTTTATGATATGATGATCTTTCTATTTAATTCAGCATTTTTCAGTTACTGGTCCTGTACAGTAATAAAAATACCTTAAATGTTCCTTTAGTCCTACAGGTCTATACTTAAGGTATACAACAGTATACACAGACTACTGGTATATTGCTTACCTGCTTTTTTGTTAAGAAATTTAAAATGACACACTGATTTCATGGTAGCCATCTTACATGTGTTACAATGATCCAAATAAGTACAAATAACAACACTAAGTCTGGGCAATGAGATGAATTTTTATACCAATTTTGGTTAAAATTGGCCAGGTGGGACTTTGGAATTTTTCAAAAATCTTTATCAATCAAAAGACAAGTGGCCATCTTTAGTTTCAAATCAACAAAAAAATCACAACACAGAAGTTAATTTTTTTGTCAAACCTTATAACCATAGAATGCTTGTACCATATTAGGTTTAAATCTTTTCACCAATACTTGAGTAGCAAGTTTGCCCTGTTAATTATTCCACCCTGTGTTGTATAAGACAATAGTCCAGATAAAATAAAATTTCTAAGTTACTCAAATAAATGAAAAGGAACATTGACTTCAAAGGTTATTTAAACAGAATTGTGAGGTTTTACACCATTACATATACAGTTACACATATTTTCTAGGTTATATTTTTATTTCATGTCTGAAAATCACCAGTTACTCGCAGTTAGAGTCTGACATTATCTAAAATACTATATACTTATGAAAATAGTTATTTTTATACAGGAATATTACGATGGTTTACTTATGTTACTAGTATATCAATGGCTACAAAATATTACATTCCTATATACTTATGGTAAGTTTATAAATTAGAACATTACATTTTTCCCATTGCCAAAAAAGGTATGTATACTTAAATAATCAAATATGGACAACTTTCAAATGTTGCCTTAAGTCATAGCACGGTTAGATGGTACGTATTCCTGGGTATAATTATGTACGTTGTCAGTTACATTTGTCCATTTTCATGAAATATTTTATCGAATATAAATGACAAAGCTATAACGCAGATGTAAAAATACATGAGTATACAAAGGAAAATACTACAAACTAGAACAGTGAGCATTAAAATCATATACAAAATCTTATAAGATGGCAAAAAAAAAGCTTTGATTACATGTAGGACCTGCAAAAACAAAACTCTTAAAACAATATCTTCTATTACAATTGTATATTATGATAAAAGTAAGGCTACACTTGAGGTAAAAATATATGACTTTCAGAGCTCGAGGTAATCAACCAGTTTCTGTAGTGAGGGTGTTTATAGTGACTGTACATGTTTATACAATTTCATAACAGAATCAACTTAATGTCACTTTATAAACATTATTTTTTTGGATTGAATTTCTAAATTGCTGGTAGATACAAAATTTCCTTGATTTTTTACACTCATTGTTTCAACATCAATCCTTTGATATTTTAAAAGGAACATAAGTCTGGATTCAAAAATAAATATTTCATGACATTTTATAAACTAAAAACATTCCAAAGTAAACGAATTGGATACAAGGTAGCATAAAAACTAAAACTAAATGATTTCCTAAAAACAAGCAACAATTTTTCTACTGTATGGATGTAAAATGGCAAGATAAAACCAACTTTCGGAATTTAAATACCAAGTAACTAGAGGCAGCTGTGAAAAAGCTTATTTAAAATCCTAACTATGTTAAAACTTACATAATAATGGTGTGTAATACATACAGTGTGCCCTGTGTAAACTCAGCCAGTGAAACCAGGAACTTCTTAGTACAGTAGTTACTTTTCGCAAGGGTTTTATATATCATTTTACCCATTTCCACAGTCTGAACATCAGTCTGAACATATCAATGAATTCTGTAAACTATTTGTGTGAAAAACATAATAAAATCGGATGTACACTAGAGCTTGCATGCAACATTACCAAAGTTCGACCCCAACAGAGCACAAAACGGTATCCCAGCAGGAACCGTAGCTCAACGTCAATTTTGAAATTTTAGATCCGATATCGGACCATCAAAAATTTTGAAATAAAATAAAATCAATTGGACCTGGAGCTGCAGTTCCCACAGCTGAAAACAGTAGGTAAACATAATGTTCAACTGATAAAGTCATACTCTATAATCTATATTAAATTAACCTTTGTTAACCAAAATTCTGTCCATTCTGACAAAAAAGTCTTGGAAACACTAGTGGTAAAACTAACAGATTTTATCCTTAAACTTACTTGACTATGAACTGGCAGTAAATGTAGGACAGAAACCGAAAGAAGTCACAAACAGTCACAAAATCTTTTGAGCACTGCTTGCATTGTTTGACTAGATATTTACAGAAAGCACCAAGCATTTACATTTATAACACAGTAACGAAAGATTTCTTTTTTTATTGCACCATTAGGTAGCTTTATAGCCTTAGATGCAGCTTTATAACAGGTGATGGACACCCTGTGGATCTCCTGCCTTTCACCTGTATTATTATAGAAACCAATTACCATTCCATCATTACCTGCAACTAAAGCAGAGGACCTACTTTATTCCTCAGGAGATAAGTCAAACCTGTTGTATTTGTTGGAAAGTAGGTTTGACCTACTGTATTCCTCAGGAAACAAGTCAAACCTGTTGTATTTGTTGGAAAGAAGGTCAAACTTACTGTATTCCTCAGGAAACGAGTCAAACCTGTTGTATTTGTTGGAAAGTAGGTCAAACCTACTGTATTCCTCAGGAAACAAGACAAACCTGTTATATTTGTTGGAAAGTAGGTCAAACCTACTGTATTCCTCAGGAAACAAGACAAACCTGTTATATTTGTTGGAAAGTAGGTCAAACCTACTGTATTCCTCAGGAAACAAGTCGAACCTGTTGTATTTGTTTGAAAGTAGGTAAAGCCTACTGTATTCCTCAGGAAACAAGTCAAACCAGTTGTATTTGTTTGAAATTAGGTCAAACTTACTGTATTCCTCAGGAAACAAGTCAAACCTGTTGTATTTGTTGGAAAGTAGGTCAAACCTACTGTATCCCTCAGGAAACAAGTCAAACCTGTTGTATTTGTTGGAAAGTAGGTCAAACCTACTGTTTTCCTCAGAAAACAAGTCAAACCAGTTGTATTTGTTGGAAAGTAGGTCAAACCTACTGTATTCCTTAGGTTATAATTTCATACACTGTTTAAAAAAAAACATGCATGCAATTTTGTCACCTGTTCCACTGGTATTGTTGGTTATTTTCTGATACTGGTATTTATAAAGTATTGTGGTTTATTTCTTACAGAGAAATGAATCTCATCAGGTTCATTTACATAAAATTTAGGATAAGGAAGCTCTCGCCATGGAAGATAGTTTTGGATTGATCATGAGTGCCATATTATTAGTGGTTTAGGAAGCCAAGATACAAAAGTGACAAAAACAATTACAACTTAATGTATATGATCTAATATGAGGGCTATATATAGTAATTACAACAATATACTTACGGTATGTGAGTAACATATATAAACATTTAACAACATACATTACTTGTATACACCGGTAACTTATCATTGAAGAATGTTAACTGTCAAACTCAATATAAAGTCATGCACTTTTTAATGCATCCTTGATTCAATGACTTCTCCTTAAAAAAGAGAGAACAAATCTCCTCATCAGTGATAATTTGTATGTTATGATACATGTACAGAAACGATAACACATAACACAACCAGTTAGTTATACATCACAGTTATATAACGTCAACATCCGGGGTAACAAGTATTATAATACCCCCACAGTACTGTCCCATCCCTACACCAACCATTAAAGCATGGACACTCCCCCCACCCCCCATAAAAACAAATCTACCATCAACACAATGACCATAATACATTAACATAAATATTACAGATTTTATCTGCTACCCTACAATTTTAATTTGTATGTGTCGGAGTTACCACCATTTAGCCATCTTTTGGATAAGAGATGCAGTAAAGTAGCATACAGATATACATGTAGCCATAAACTTACAGATATTACACTGAACCTGTACATTTTACACTGAACCTATAAATATTACACTGAACCTATAAATATTACACTGAACCTACAGACCATGCAGCACTCCTCGCACATTTGATCTACATGAATTTATATATAATTCACATTTATAGTTTTTGGGATACTTTACCAGGGAACTGTTGTTTTTTTATGATTTTATCATGTTGATACTATCAGTGTTTCTATTTCTAATAACACCTTTCTCGCACAGGTGTTAATCTCTGAAGATATCCAGTAAAATTAATATCATACATCCCCTATACATGTAATAAAATTCTAATATGTATCTGTTTGTTATTATACTTAAATTTAAGCAACTATGGAGCCAGACCAATCATCTGTATACCAGTTACACCACTGACAGTAAAAAGACAACTTGGATGCATTTTGGCCAGGGAATAAATAACAAGGTATAAAGTTTGACATTTATACACAGTTCTGGCACGAACAAAGGGCAAGTCACAGGCATCAATACTGCTCCAACACGATCAAATGAACACTATACATCAACTCTGGCTCAAGGAATATCATACATGATTTTGTCTGGAAGTGTCTTTAAACAATAATTTGCATACTTGTACTGTGTATATACAATGAATGATAATACTGGTGTGTGTATATAATATACGAGACATTTACAATGATGAACAACGCTAAAACAATGACCAGCAAGCCTACTTAACTCGGACTCAGGGGAGTTGAATGCCTTTCCTCACTCCAAATACCCGTCCTAACCTGACAAACCTCACTCCAAATACCCCTCCTAACCTGACAAACCTTACTTCAAATACCCCTCCTAACCTGACAAACCTCACTCCTAATTGTCCTAACCTGACAAACCTCACTCCAAATATCCCTCCTAACCTGACAAACCTCACTCCAAATACCCCTCCTAACCTGACAAACCTCACTCCAAATACCCCTCCTAACCTGACAAACCTCACTCCAAATACCCCTCCTAACCTGAAAAACCTCACTCCAAATACCCCACCTAACCTGACAAGTCAAACATCTCTTTTAAGTTGGACTTGGATTAGTGGAATACCCCTCCTTGCTTGGAAGAATCAAATACCTTTCCCAAGTCAGACTTTGATGAGTCAAATAATCCTCTTTAATTAGACTACTTCGCTCTGTCGAGTCAAATACTTGTTTTACTTCGCTCTGTTGAGTCAAACACTTGTCTTACTTCGCTCTGTTGAGTCAAATACTTGTCCTACTTTGCTCTGTTGAGTCAAATACTTGTCCTACTTGGTTCTGTTGAGTCAAACACTTGTCTTACTTCGCTCTGTTGAGTCAAATACTTGTCCTACTTGGTTCTGTTGAGTCAAATACTTGTCCTACTTTGCTCTATTGCATCAAACACTTGTCCTTCTTCGCTCTGTTGAGTCAAACACTTGTCCTTCTTGGCTCTGTTGAGTCAAATACTTGTCCTACTTCGCTCTGTTGAGTCAAATACTTGTCCTACTTTGCTCTATTGCATCAAACACTTGTCCTACTTTGCTCTGTTGAGTCAAACACTTGTCCTACTTCGCTCTGTTGAGTCAAATATCATTATAAGCATCATAAGTCAGACTCTGATGAGTCAAATACCCATCCTAACTTTGACTCGGACTCTAACTTGAACATGTGATTTTTTTCCAAAGCTTCATTGTCCTTAACAATTTATTATTAATTTCCCTAAACAACTGAAACATCCATGAAACTGTGATTTAATGCTGGATCTAAAATATTGGCCAGGTAAAGACACCTATATTTACCACACAAATTGTGATGATTGTTTATACATATTCATAAGAGAGGGTCATTAGACTCCAGTAACGAAGGGAAGGTCCGAAAACTCTCCCCAGAGCTGACAAGTCAGAGTTAAGCAGGTTTACAGGACTTACAAACCATATCAGTGTTACCTCACAAGAGTCAGTAACATGACAATACCCTAGTGTATAAATGACAGCCACGGTACATTGTTCAAACACAGATTTGTTATAGTTGCATTAATATCTTAATAATAAACAAGAATAAAATATAAAGAAAAAGAAGCACCCTGACACCTACATATTGTATGGTAAACATGACACTCCTCAAGTCCATTTTGGATCAGTCATCAGTCTAAATGTGACATATTTTCACATGATCAATCAAAAGAATGATTTGTATAAAACCAATTTTGACATTTTGATGTACACATACTTGTAACAGACAGGCATATTCATAATTCATATAATTCAAAACTCTTCAATACAACAGAAACACAATAATCTAAATCATTTTGAGCAACAAGTGCCTTTTCAATTGTTGAATAAAATGAAATTATTTGAGTTAAAGATTCTTATTTGCAAAAAAATGATTGAGTTCTAAAAAGCACCTGAGCATTCATCAATACAAGATCAATGTGATAAAAGCCAGACCCCACTTAGCTGTGTTTGGTACAGTATCTAGTTAATAAGGATCTTGTTTTAACCAAATCATTATAAGATTATTCTCTACAAGACAGAACAAGAATGGTGATTTTGTCAAGGTGGTTAGAACATCTGCCTTTAAACATTTTTTTCATAACTGGACATTAAAAAGGGATCTTAGTCAAAACGTTTTCTATCTATCAAGTCAAAAATATTATTCGCAAAAAAGACCCATCTCCAAAACATACAATATTGCTATCGAGTACTTTCAACCACTGAAATAAAAGGTGTGAGGTCGTGTAATAGTAGGAAAGTTGGCCAATAGGAGCAAGAGTATTGAGCAATATAATATAAACATAACAGTATAAACACAATGAGTAATTACAAATGATATTCTCATGCAAAATTATAAAGATACATGTACCACTTCACACATCCTAAAGTGTGTACCAATTATATGTGTACTACCGTATTTATCCTGCAATAAGCCCATCTCCGGTAATAAGCAAACCCATATCTATTGCATTTCAGTTGAAATGCCAATAAAAATATGTCACTGTCCTGTAATAAGCACCCCCCTACCCCCACCAAATCTCCCAATACCCCCTACTTTGAGTCAAAGATTTGGTTTCCTATGTGTTTGCCCCCTGGGCCTATTGCAGGATAACTTTGGTACCATACCTGTGCGCTACAGTAAGCATAAGTATACTGCTTGCTGTACTGGAAGTGCAATAACAGTAAGGCATATAAAACTGATGTTAATGTATTACAAGCTATTTCAAACTTTTTAAAATAAAACCTTGAACAATTTTCTCTCTAAAAATATAACAATTTCCTCTTTTTCAGGTCAGAATATTTTAAACCTGCTTGGAAATATATGCATGACACTAATTTCTTCCACTTACAGGTATACAAATATGAAGATCTCGGGAACAAAATTCCTTGCAACATACTTTTATGCACGTTCTATGTTAACTTCAATCAAACTTCTGCTTTGATCACAAGGTTAACTGATGAAAGAGAAATTCACTAAAAAAAATAATACAATATTTAAGTATTTTTGTTTTTTGATATCTGAACAAAAACATATATTTTTTTGCCAATTATTGTTATTGCATGAGAAATATTCTTATCTAAATAGTTCACACAAAAATTCTCTAGGTACAACTGAGTGACCTGCTGTGATTTAATATATTAACATAATACTGCTGAAAATCTATTATCACATACACACATAACTCTACATAACAAAGAAGATTGCATTCAAGCACCATATAATTCATGAAGACAGTATTTGAAAAAATAATCTCAAACTCATAAAAATTAATTAAAAACAGCATCATACATGTATATGGAAGTATTTTAAAGCCATTTCAGGCAATCAAGTTTGACTAACATTTTTAAATCCTGAACATTAATGTGCCTCCATTACGCACGATACTATGTTTTTACAATCGGAACACTTCATCATCAAGTCATTTATTAGGGTTAGTTCCAGAATGACCAATTCATCAATTAACACCAAAACATTTATAGCATATATGCCTGGCAGATTTCTTACAAATCCTTTAGAACTTAAAATATTGACCTTAAAGACATATTACCTCAAAACTAACAAAAAAGAGGTTTCAATATAACACATACATTTTTATCTGAAATAATAGTATTTATAAAGCATACAATCAAAAAACATTCACAATAATTTGCATTGAACTCATTTTTTTTGCATTGAAAAAAAAAAGATACCAATATGTTGTACATGTTTGTAATAAGTGTGTAGTAAATATTGTTTGTAATATATGTGTGTACTGCATGTTGTAATACAATGTATATGTACCCTAATCCATGTTTTTAATATACAATGTACAAGTATCATACAATCTGAAGTGATACAACTTATATATATACAGTGTGTATTATACAATGTGGAGTACCTACAGGTTACATTTCTATGTATATAAATGTACTTTACAGTGTGTAGCTAAGTATGTGGAGCATGTTCTCAAATCTAAGTACAGGTACAGGGAAAAGCTAGGCGTAGATATGGAGAAATTCCAAATTGTGGTAGCAAGACTTCTTAATCTATTAATACACGACAAAGCTTATATTAGCAGGTGGATGTATTACTTAAGTTATAAACACTCCTATATACTTTCTTTTGTTACTATTCTCTCCCACACTTGATTTGATACTAAAAATCCTGACCCTTTTCAATATGAAAGAACAACAAATGATGTAAGTATATATAAACAGAATGTATGTGTCAGTGGTAATCTCTTTACCTATCAATTTACATCAGGGAACAGCTTCATACAAAATCTCAACACTTACTCAACTTACAATTACTGGTAATCTTTGTTCAATTCCTGCGTTATCTCCCCTCATATTTTAAATCTTTCAGATAATTTGAAGCTTTTGGTTCTATGATACAAATGGTTAAGTTAATTCTAATTCTAATAGGATATCTGAAATAGGTTCCCCTACGTGTTATATACACGTATTATATGACAAATGGGTTAATGACAAATACGTTTGCAGTATCCTAATTGATCAGAAGAAAAATATGAGAAAGAAATTTGGTTCTAAATTTTGTTATGAACTATTCTTATTTTAATTAGACATTTCTTTCTTAGAGACGAACACTAATGAAAACACAAAAGGCAACATCACATAAACTATGAGACAAAAAAAAAATGACTAGATATTTGTATGCTAATTGGTTTAGTGAAATTGAAAATGCAATTATGAAAATAAATCCCCTGAATTCCTTATTAAGAAATTTGGTGTACATTTTAACACGATAAGACTTCATCAGATTCAAACATTGGTACACATATGAAATACTTATTGACGAGTTCAGCATCCAAAACACAGGGCATGTAAATACAGGAGACATACATTACAGCCTGGCAAATTAACACCATTTAGTATACCGCCTCTATCCCAGGTCAGACTCTATGTATATACTAACGTATGAGTCTAAGCTGTCTGCAAAATTAAAACCCAATGTGAGAATAAAGCTACCAGTATAGCAATGTAAGATAATCTCCCAGTTATTTAGTACAAAAGGAATACACGTTTGAGATATGGTGAAGATGGACCAGTGTATGACTACCAAGTATATGTATAATTTATTCCAAAAAAAATGACACAAGAATACCATTATTTAAGAATCGAGAGGTATATTTTTAGAGATGTAATTTTTTATGCTATACATGTTTTAGACTAAATTTGCTGCTGCAATTTTTCTATAGGATAAAATCTATACATATATAACAACTTATATAAAGTATCTTGAACTATAAAAATCTATAAGGATCAACATTACTGGGAAAAAAAGCTGACAATCATAATTGATTACAGTTTAAGTATTGCATTTATTTAAAAAATTGCCAACAACGTTAAAATGATCATTTGCATTGTATTTATATAAGTATTTGTTAAAGAGACAATTAAATAAAACGATCAATTTGTAGAAGTCAACAATTAACAGAATTGACTTATCTAACTTTCTTTATTACACAGGGAGACACTATAAACATCCCTACATGTTATACCTTATCAACATTAAAAACTTCCTATTTTGATACGTGTTTTATGTGCTATAGGACCTCCACCTCTTTAACACATTATACAATTAGTATTTTACATAACGATACAGACTGGCTTATCAAGTGGTAAATTATGTATAATTAGGACGTTTACATACCTAAATATTACAAAAAAGTAATAATGCTTCTTGAAGACACATCTTCAATATTAATATAAAAAAATAAGTTTACATGTATTGATCTTATAACTGGTCTAAATTGCATTGATTAATAAAACTTCCTGGAATGGAAATAATCAAAAAGTTTTTAGATATTAAAGGATCGAATATTTTGGAAGAATAAATACCTGGAAAAATAATGAAGAAATAAAAAAAAAAGTTTTATTTAATTTTACATCAAACCTATATGCAAGACTAGCTCATTTTTTTCTATATGTAGCAATTCATCAATTAAATTTAAGCAATGAAACTTAACTATGTTTGATATAATAGACATTATTATATGGTTGAAAATTTCTCGCAATCACATTGGCCGGATCCTTTACACGTGACCAGTCCTCAAAAACTCATGTAGACCGGATATCCGGTGAATATCGATTTTTTTTAAATCTGTCAGACGACAACAGAAGATGGCTGCTGACGAAAGTTCGTCTCCGTTACATCTGAAAATTTCCAAAAATTCCAAAAACTACTCGAAGATAAAGATGCTGTTAACACAAAAAAAAGCCACCGAACACGCAGTGGGTGTCCTCCATGGAAAAGAACCTTGACAATGTCTTCGAAAGCTACGATGCCGAACTGTTAATTGGTTTCAACCATAGCTAAATTTTACACGGAGGCTCGTTCCAGTAAAGGTTAATGATACAAAATTTTATTGTTGAAGCATATATAAAACAGTTATGGGCTTTTGTGCTGGTAAATATGATGTAATATGAACCTGATGATATCGCCTCTGTCAATATCACTTTGTCAGGTTCATATCTCATCATATTCACCAGCATAAAAGTCTATAATTGTATAGTGTTGTTGATGTCCAATGAGAGTATATAACTATGACATGATGATTTTGCTTATAAATGGAATGTCCTATCAAGTATGTGGTTGTATGTTATGTTTCTACAGTAAACAATGACGCTTACATTCATGTTTCTATATATAGATGCCTTGTATCTATTGTTCGCTTTCCAGGCTGTGAAAAATGTCCCTTTGATTCTAAATACCCTTGTAGTTATCTACAAACAATGATAGACTATAACAAAATATTTACCACAAGTATCTGTTACTATAATCCTAGTTTAAATATCAATATGTGGAGATAAGACAAGTGTACATAGCATGACAAAGGCTTTGTCCTACTTAAGTAGTGTACTGAATATAAGTGGTAAGCTATGAACATATATACCAGTAATGTTGGTTCAGTGCTATCCAATCAACCTTCCATAAAACCAGCCTTAGACACGTCCTGAGAGACAGTTTTACAGTGACGTTTATGGGTTACCTCAAACCCTTTGCATTTGCTTCATTTCTTTACTTTCCTGTCAAAATCATTGACATGTGTACAAATCCTCTCTTCCTGTCCAAACCCCAACAGGTCCTAACTAAGGAGTTCAGTAGTGATGCCTCATTTCCTGAGGGTGCCTCCTAACGATGCTTGTCGGGCTAACATGATGGCAGGACGTAGGTACTGACGAAGGTACTCTATACTTAGTGGCTGTTTGGACACCATTTCTTCTATAGGCTGTTTCTCTGACATCATTCTGGATCCATTGAAGTCCATCTAAGCTCAACGAGAACACAGTAAATCATGTACATTATCATATTGAAGACCATCTAAGCTCAACGAGAACACAGTAAATCATGTACATTATCACATTGAAGTCCATCTAAGCTCAACGAGAACACAATAAATCATGTACATTATCACATTGAAGTCCATCTAAGCTCAACGAGAACACAGTAAATCATGTACATTATCATATTGAAGTCAATCTAAGCTCAACGAGAACACAGTAAATCATGTATGTTATCACATTGAAGTACAACTAAGCTCAACGAGAACACAGTAAATCATGTATGTTATCACATTGAAGTACAACTGAGCTCAACGACAACAGTTTATCACATTGATATACATGTACTTGTATGTGGTAAAAAAACTGAGACAATGCTAAGATTCAAACCAGTGCCTAAAAGCTTATCACAGCAAAGTACCTCATAACTTTACAATTCCTGGTTTACAAAAGTGTTCAAAACCTGATGTATATATGTCAGAATCTTACCTGCATCACATAGGTTGCCATGGAGTACAACTTGTTGTCTCTAGTAACAGGCTCTATGATCCAACCACTAGGCAGCATCTGGAAATAAATTGTGAGTCAACATTAATTTTATGTTTGTTCCTAAAGAAAGGTAACTCTATGGACGTACATGCTACAGAGTTGTGTTTATGTGTTTTGGCCACAGTCAGCAGTATAAGGATCAAGGCGTAGAGAAAGTTTTGTTTTGCCCAACAAACTCCTTTCAGAAGAAAAAAATGTGAACAATCTCCTGGATGCTGGAGACATTCCCTGAAGTATATATTTTCTGTTATAAAAGTATATGCTCCAAACTTATCTTAACCCTCTATGGTTAGATAACTAACCTGGACCCTCCCTGAAAGGCAATATTTTCCAGGAATCTGTCAGTACCACTGGGTATTGGGTACTGGTAGATTACTTGCCTGGACTCTCTCTGGTAGGTAATATTTTCCAGGACTTTGTAAGTACCACTGGGCATTGGGTACTGGTAGATTACTTGCCTGGACCCTCTCTGGTAGGTAATATTTTCCAGGACTTTGTAAGTACCACTGGGTATTGGGTACTGGTAGATTACTTGCCTGGACCCTCTCTAGTAGGTAATATTTTCCAGGACTTTGTAAGTAGCACTGGGTATGGGAACTGGTAGGTTACTTGCCTGAATTCTCTCTGGTAGGTAATATTTTCAAGGACTGTCAGTACCACTGGGTATTGGGTACTGGTAGGTTACTTACCTGGACCCTCTCTGTACTGCTGGGTACTGGTAGGTTACTTACTTGAACCCTCTCTGTAACGCTGGGCACTGGTAGGTTACTTACTTGAACCCCCTCTGTAACGCTGGGCACTGGTAGATAACTTACTTGAACCCCCTCTGTAACGCTGGGTACTGGTAGGTTACTTACCTGAACCCCTTCTGTAACGCTGGGCACTGGTAGGTTACATACCTGAACCCTCTCTGTACCGCTGGGTACTGGTAGGTTACTTACCTGAACCCCCTCTGTAATACTGGGTACTGGTAGGTTACTTACCTGAACCCCTCTGTACTGCTGGGTACTGGTAGGTTACTTACCTGAACCCCCTCTGTAATGCTGGGTACTGGTAGGTTACTTACCTGAACCCTTTCTGTACTGCTGGGTACTGGTAGGTTACTTACCTTAACCCTCTCTGTACTGCTGGGTACTGGGAGGTTACTTACCTGAACCCTCTCTGTACTGCTGGGACTGGTAGGTTACCTACCTGAACCCTCTCTGTACCGCTGGGTACTGGTAGGTTACTTACCTTAACCCTCTCTGTACTGCTGGGTACTGGTAGGTTACTTCCCTGAACCCTCTCTGTAACGCTGGGCACTGGTAGGTTACTTACCTGAACCCTCTCTGTACTGCTGGGTACTGGTAGGTTACTTACCTGAACCCACTCTGTACCGCTGGGTACTGGTAGGTTACTTACCTTAACCCTCTCTGTACTGCTGGGTACTGGTAGATTACTTACCTGAACCCTCTCTGTAACGCTGCGCACTGGTAGGTTACTTACCTCAACCCTATCTGTACTGCTGGGCACTGGAAGGTTACTTACCTGAACCCCCTCTGTACTGCTGGGTACTGGTAGGTTACTTACCTGAGCCCCCTCTGTACTGCTGGGTACTGGTAGGTTACTTACCTGAACCCTCTCTGTACTGCTGGGACTGGTAGGTTACCTACCTGAACCCTCTCTGTACCGCTGGGTACTGGTAGGTTACTTACCTGAACCCCCTCTGTACTGCTGGGTACTGGTAGGTTACTTCCCTGAACCCTCTCTGTACTGCTGGGACTGGTAAGTTACCTACCTGAACCCTCTCTGTACCGCTGGGCCCTGGTAGGTTACTTACTTGAACCCTCTCTGTACTGCTGGGTACTGGTAGGTTACTTACCTGAACCCTCTCTGTACTGCTGGGTACTGGTGGGTTACTTACCTGAACCCTCTCTGTACCGCTGGGCACTGGTAGGCCATTGTCTACGGACTGCATGGCTATCACATATTTCTCTCCATCCATCCTCTCGTTTTGGAGGACACAGAAATCAAAACATTCCTTCTTAAACCTGTAGACAAGCTCATGGTAAAAATAAACTGCAACAAAAAAATAATACACCTGCAACATTTAATTTTCAACCATACATACATCACAGGGTCATTTGGGGAAGATAACTAAGTAGCCCTTTTTATCTTCATTCTTAAGCTCTCAATACCATCTTAAAATTACTTTGACAATGTGATGATTTTTTGGATTAAAAACATGAGTACCCGGTATAACTTTATATTTTTACCAAAAATCAATCTGGATGTGCATGTTCCATAGAATTTATGCTATGGAAATTAAAAACAAATCTTACCAATTTTGGCTTTATCTGTGATACTGCTTAAGACATCAACTTTCTACAAATATAAGAAAGAAAAATATTCATCTTTCATTAATTGCAAAATCATAAAAAGTGTATGGGTAGCTTCTGAATACAGTAAACAAACATTTCTTAGTGATTTACTTTAAAGCCTTTTGTATTAATTTACTTTAAAGCCTTTTGTATTATTTCTGATAAACTGATTTATGTATGGTGCTACCTATATGGAGTTACATGTCTTCCAAAGTGAAGCTCAAGGAAATAGTAAGTGTGCTAATTCTTAAGTGTAGTTTTAGAGTTTGTAATTATATGTTAACAGCAGATGATGTTTTTTTTCTGAAGACAATAGGTTACATAACCATTCTTACATTGCATTTTACAAACTGTCAGGTGAATGATGTTCATACCTTCAAACTTTCATCATAGGTGAAGCGAGTTCTGGGGTTTTTGATGGCTTCAAACACTCGCTGTGGTGAGGCACTGATCAGACCTTTACCAACAACACTGTGGGTAAAAAACAGAGACATGTGTGGTGTAAAAGGAGAAACAAATAGATATTTTACAACAATAAATATAAAGACTGAAACAAATTATATACTCTTCAGATGGAAAAAGACATTACCAGGCACTATCACCTCAGTCTGGAATTGTGAAAATAATAGCGATGGACTAACTTTAAGCATGGATTTACAGGTTGTGAAATACTATAAGTACCTCATTTATATAAAGCAGTTCTGCATTAAATTGTATATGACATCTTTTCCAAGACGAAAGTTTTCATTTAAGGGAGAAAGTCTTGAAGTTTTTGGTATAAAACATCTTAAAGTGTGCTTTCAATGGCATATTAATGAATGATAAGAATGATATTTCGCAGATTCAATATGTAAATTCCAAAATGGTTATCAGGACATAATGTCCAAATTTTTATGAAGAAACTGTCTGTATATAGTTGGCATGGTATCAAACCCTATACATTATTGATACCATTATGGAGAACTGTAATATATTAATTAGATCTAATTGGATTGCGATAAATGAATACGGCCATACTCTCGAGCTGGACCAGTGGGTAACAATTCTCCAGTTACATCCGGTCAGGCATCCTTGTACATGAGCTTGCCTTCAAAGTCATTCAACACTTATTCCAGGGGTATCCTTCATTATATCTTAGGAAATTAAAACTATGGAAATACACAACACTACTCGTGGACTGTTTTTAACAGAGTTTCATAAAATCGAATTGTGTTGTAACATTTTTTAACCAACTCTCAAACTTACCTAAAAAGGGTATTTGAGCGGTTTAGAATCTTTTTGAAAATCACTACATCTGTCTCTAGTCCCCAAAACCTGAAACAGAAATGGTACAATATTAAACAAAGTAACATCTAAAGAATAAACAACCAATAATTAATAAAGCAAACGTACCAATAGTATATAGTACATATTGTACTTGTATTTTGCAGGTTTTATTTTTGCTATATTTGCAACCTGAACAAAAAGAATATTGTGATATATATAGATCTGTAAAATTACTTGCCATTTCGACATACATAGTTAGTTAGGACTATTGACTGGGAATGGTTTTGCTTATTAAACCCTGCAAACTTTTTCGAGGAAGTAAATTGTAATAACTCGACTATATAAAGGCTGAGGATGACTGAAATCACCTGTCTTTGAAAATTTGAAAGAAACAAAGCTTTTAATTAGTAGATATCCTCTCATTAGGCATGTGATACAAAATATATATTTTGGTATTGGTGGAGTTTATGTTTACAATTTTTTCAAAAATTATTTAATTTTCGAAGATTGTTAATTTTTCATTTTTGTACTGTATGTCCTGTAGACATACTGTAAGTTCAATTTGGTGGGATTTAGGTAAACACAAGATGTTAATGATTAGTCACAGGACATTACACATACCTGGTGGATGTAAAAGAAAAGTTTGAGAAAATGCTGTATTTACTTACGCCCATCCACCTGAGCTCTCTGTCTGCTGACTCTGAGATTTTCGTAGATCTATGTTTGACACTCTCAGTGCCTGAAATTAAAAGCCCTTACATATGAAAGATAGAAGTTGGTAGAAAGAGGTCTGTTCTTGGAACTCTTAATGATTGTGATTTGAAAACCCTGCCATTCCTCAACCTGCAGTGCCTATCCAATATGCATACACATATATATTTTGGTAACTTACATCGTCTTTGCCACATACAGGTTTTAGGATCAGCTTAATGTCACTTAAAATACACAGATCTTGATAGTTTGGTATACACAGGTGAATTTTGTTTACACAGGTGAGTCTGGTTTACACAGGTGAGGCTGGTTTACACAGGTGAGGATCTGATTATCACAGGTGAGGGTCTAGCTTATACAGGTTAGGGTTTAGTTTACACAGGTGAGGCTGGTTTACACGGGTGAGTCTGGTTTACACAGGTGAGGCTGGTTTACAAGGGTGAGTCTAGTTTACACAGGTGAGGCTGGTTTACACAGGTGAGGATCTGATTAACACCGGTGAGGGTCTAGCTTATACAGGTTAGGGTCTAGTTTACACAGGTGAGGATCTAATTAACACCGGTGAGGGTCTAGCTTATACAGGTTAGGGACTAGTTTACACAAATGAGGCTGGTTTACACAGGTGAGGATCTAGCTTATACAGGTTAGGGTCTAGTTTATACAGGTGAGGCTGGTTTAAATGGGTGAGTCTGGTTTACACAGGTGAGGCTGGTTTACACAGGTGAGGATCTAGCTTATACAGGTTAGGGTCTAGTTTATACAGGTGAGGCTGGTTTACACAGGTGAGGCTGGTTTACAAAGGTGAGGATATCCAAAGTCATGTAGTTTACACTGGTGAGGGTTTGCTTTACACAGGGGAGAGTCTGGTTTATACAGTTGAAGGTCTAGTTTACACAGGTTATAGGGTCTAGTTTACACAGGTGAGGCTGGTTTACACAGGTGAGGATATACAATGCCATGTAGTTTACACTGGTGAGGGTTTGATTTACACTGGGGAGAGTCTGGTTTACACAGGTGAGGGTATATAGTTTACACAGTTGATGGACTAGTTTATAATCATAAGATTCTGGTTTATTCAGTCAAATCATTCCGGGTGTCTTACCAATGCCAATATGTCTGCTGCAGACTGATTTGCTAATGTCATGAACTTGACCACATCTGATGAAGTTGTGGGCTGTTTATCTGTTCAAATGAAAATATTTGACTTAAAGCAAATAGTCAGAAATCTCAAATGCATTTTTTCAATGTTTTCATTGTTTAGCAGAACTATTGACACTCCCTGCAACATAATTACAGCCTTGCATTGATGTGCTATTATCTAACTGTACATGCAGTGGTATTTGAACAATATAGGTAAATAGTTAGATGAATTGTATAAAATATTACAAAGCTACATCAGTAATAATTTGCCGAATTGTATCAAATATTACAAAGCTATATCAGTAATAATTTGCCTAAATAACATGTCAGTTAAAAGCCTACCTGATAATTCAAACAGGTCGTCCTGTGGTGTCTCAGACTCAATGGATGATACTACACTGCCAGTATCGGTGTCCAACTCCTCCAGAGTCAACAACTCCTCACCCTCTCCGTGGCTGTGCCCCCCAATCCCACCATTCTCGTAACCAGTCCTCTCCTTGTTCTGCTCCAAGCTGTCATGACTACTTTTTTGACTGGTTTGGTCTCCACTCTCTGTTTGAGAGTGTTCACTGTCCACATCCATAGGGGATGTCTTGTCCATCGATTCCCTATAGCTGTCGGAATGTAACAAGTTTGATGAGTTTTGAGCATTGTCAGTGACAGATTGTATCAGTGGCTGAGATGGGGAGTCTGTATCTCCCATCACTATTCCTAGGATGTCTGTGTCCGACTGTGAACGCCGCTGCTGAATGGAACGTCTTGTTATTTTGCCCTGAGAATTGGTTCGCAGTCTCAGTATGGATTCTGATTTTTGCAAAACTAAAGATTTCTGCTTTTCATTGAGAGATGAGAAACGATCATAGAATTGCTTGTCTCGTTCCTCGTCACTTGATGAATCGGCAATGTTGTTGGTTTGGCTGTTGTTGTTGAAGTTTGGCATTCGGATACTGGTAAGTGGGGTACATTTAACTTTGCGTAGACGAAGATAGTCCCTAAGTGATCCCAAAAGGCAAGCAACTTGGGTAGCACCAGTGTTGGAGGTCGACATATTGTGAACTAAAATGGTGACTAAACAGCTGTCCATATCTATGTAAAAAGGGGAAAAAAAGAAGAAAATCAGCTTTCAGCTAGGGTCAATTTGAAATGTAAGATCTATCAATGCTAATATTATACATCAAGTTTTATAATCAATGAATTTCATAAAAGTATCTTTAATAGTTGAATCAGCAGTTTTAGCTATTGGATGTAAGGATACCTTTATATGACAGTCAATCAAAATTAATGAATATGCATACAAAAATCAAAAGAGACTTAAATACAATCCACCTCATTGCTACGAACAAGAAACAATACATTTTAGAAGAAATGTTTTTTTCAAAACTCTAGTCCATTTCAGCTAAAACTACAAGTACATTTTAGTACATTTTATACTCTGTAAAGCAATAAGCAATCATGGTTTCCTTGCATACCAAACTCACCTTCGACTGGCTGTACAAGGAAGAACATGGCCAGACTTTTATCCTGAGAGGTCTGTAACATCCAGCAACAGCCATTGTCCTCCCTGTTCCAATGTCTGCAAAACAGTCAATGTACTTGATTTAGGTGAGCACAGTTAATTCTTTGACAAAAGTTGTAAAAACCAGTTTCTCAAGGGTTTTATGATTTGCACAATTTTTTTGTCTCAATCTGGTAAGTTTCATATTTAAGTTGTATACTTGAACACTGCCTCCAAGTGAACAAGTGAAATCCCATCTCCCTTACTGTATATACTTTGGTCCCTAGTCTGTGTAATCCTAAGTCATACTGTGGCACCACCTCAAATGTGTACTCCGAGTCCCTCTTACCTTGTGTACTGCTGTGGCAGCACTTCCTCAGTGTAGTCCTGAACCTTCCTTACCCTGTATAGCCTACTGCTGAGGTACAGTGCTAACTTCTCTGTATAATCTAAAGTCCCCCTCGCCTTGTATACTGCCGTGGTACCACCTCCTCAGTTAAGTACTGAGCCCCTCTCACCTTGTATACTGCCGTGGTAGCACCTCCTCAGTTTAGAACTGAGCCTCCCTTATCTTGTATACTGCTGTGGTACCACCTCCTCAGTTAAGTACTGAGCCCCCTTATCTTGTATACTGCTGTGGTATCACCTCCTCGGTTTAGTACTGAGCCCCCTTATCTTGTATACTGCTGTGGTATCCCCTCCTCAGTTTAGTACTGAGCCCCCTTATCTTTTGTACTGCTGTGGTATCACCTCCTCAGTTAACTACCGAGCCCCCTTATCTTGTATACTGCCATGGTACCACCTCCTCAGTTAAGTACTGAGCCCCTCTCACCTTGTATACTGCCGTGGTACCACCTCCCCAGTTTAGTACTGAGCCCCCCTTACTTTGTATACTGCTGTGGTATCCCCTCCTCAGTTTAGTACTGAGCCCCCTTACCTTGTATACTGCTGGGGGACCACCTCCTCAGTTAAGTACTGAGCCCCTCTCACCTTGTATACTGCCGTGGTACCACCTCCTCAGTTAAGTACTGAGCCCCCTTATCTTGTATACTGCCGTGGTACCACCTCCTCAGTTAAATACTGAGCCCCCCTCACCTTGTATACTGCCGTGGTACCCCCTCCTCAGTTTAGTACTGAGCCCCCCTTATCTTGTATACTGCTGTGGTATCAACTCCTCAGTTTAGTACTGAGCCCCCTTAGCTTGTGTACTGCTGTGTCACCACCTCCTGAGTTTAGTACTGAGCCCCCTTATCTTGTATACTGCCGTGGTACCACCGCCTCAGTTTAGTACTGAGCCCCCCTTATCTTGTATACTGCTGTGGTATCACCGCCTCAGGTTAGTACTGAGCCCCCTTATCTTGTGTACAACTGTGGTACCACCACCTCAGTTTAGTACTGAGCCTCCCTTATCTTGTATACTGCTGTGGTATCCCCTCCTCAGTTTAGTACTGAGCCCCCCTTATCTTGTATACTGCTGTGGTATCACCGCCTCAGGTTAGTACTGAGCCCCCTTATCTTGTGTACAACTGTGGTACCACCACCTCAGTTTAGTACTGAGCCTCCCTTATCTTGTATACTGCTGTGGTACCACCTCCTCAGTTAAGTACTGAGCCCCCCTAACCTTGTATACTGCTGTGGTACCACCTCCTCAGTTAAGTACTGAGCCCCCTTATCTTGTATACTGCCGTGGTACCACCGCCTCAGTTTAGTACTGAGCCCCCTTATCTTATGTACTGCTGTGGTACCACCTCCTCAGTTTAGAACTGAGCCCCCTTATCTTGTATACTGCTGTGGTATCAACTCCTCAGTTTAGTACTGAGCCCCCTTATCTTTTGTACTGCTGTGGTATCACCTCCTCAGTTTAGAACTGAGCCCCCTTATCTTGCGTACTGCTGTGGTATCACCTCCTCAGTTTAGGACTGAGCCCCCTTATCTTGTGTACTGCCGTGGTACCACCTCCTCAGTTAAGTCCTGAGCCCCCCTCACCTTGTATACTGCTGTGGTACCACCTCCTCAGTTTAGTAATGAACCTTCCTTACCCTGTATAGCCTACTGCTGAGGTACAGTGCTATCTTCTCTGTATAATCTAAAGTCCCCCTCGCCTTGTATACTGCCGTGGTCCCACCTCCTCAGTTTAGTACTGAGCCTCCAGTCCTGAACCTTCCTTACCCTGTATAGCCTACTGCTGAGGTACAGTGCTATCTTCTCTGTATAATCTAAAGTCCCCCTCGCCTTGTATCCTGCCGTGGTACCACCTCCTCAGTTAAGTACTGAGCCCCTCTCACCTTGTATACTGCCGTGGTACCACCTCCCCAGTTTAGTACTGAGCCCCCCTTACTTTGTATACTGCTGTGGTATCCCCTCCTCAGTTTAGTACTGAGCCCCCCTATCTTGTGTACTGCTGTGGTATCACCTCCTCAGTTTAGTGCTGAGCCCCCTTACCTTGTATACTGCTGGGGGACCACCTCCTCAGTTAAGTACTGAGCCCCCTTATCTTGTATACTGCCGTGGTACCACCGCCTCAGTTTAGTACTGAGCCCCCTTATCTTATGTACTGCTGTGGTACCACCTCCTCAGTTTAGTACTGAGCCCCCTTATCTTGTGTACTGCTGTGTCACCACCTCCTCAGTTTAGTACTGAGCCCCCTTATCTTGTGTACTGCTGTGGCACCACCTCCTCAGTTTAGTACTGAGCCCCCTGACCTTGTATACTGCTGTGGTACCACCTCCTCAGTTAAGTACTGAGCCCCCCTCACCTTGTATACTGCTGTGGTACCACCTCCTCAGTTTAGAACTGAGCCTCCCTTACCTAGTATACTGCTGTGGTACCACCTCTTCAGTTTAGTACTGAGCCTCCCTTACCTAGTATACTGCTGTGGTATCACCTCCTCAGTTTAGTACTGAGCCCCCTTATCTTGTATACTGTTGTGGTATCATCTTCTCAGTTTAGTACTGAGCCTCCCTTATCTTGTATACTGCTGCGGTATCATCTCCTCAGTTTAGTACTGAGTCCCCCTTACCTTGTATACTGCCGTGGCTCTCCTCTTCAGTTTAGTACTGAGCCTCTCTTACCTTGTATACTGCTGTGGTACCACCTCCTCAGTTTAGTACTGAGTCCCCCTTAACTTGTATACTGCTGTGGTACCACCTCCTCAGTTTAGTACTGAGCCCCTTTACCTTGTATACTGCTGTGGTACCACCAGTAAACTCCTCTGTGTAATCCTGTCTCCCTTACCTTGTATACTGCTGTGGTACCACCTCCTCAGTTTAGTACTGAGTCCCCCTTAACTTGTATACTGCTGTCGTACCACCTCCTCAGTTTAGTACTGAGTCCCCCTTAACTTGTATACTGCTGTCGTACCACCTCCTCAGTTTAGTACTGAGTCCCCATTAACTTGTATACTGCTGTGGTACCACCTCCTCAGTTTAGTACTGGGCCCCTTTACCTTGTATACTGCTGTGGTACAGTGCTCCCTTCTATGTGTAATCCTGTCTCCGTTACCTTGTATACTGCTGTGGTGCAGTACTACCTTCTATGTGTAATCCTGTCTCCCTTACCTTGTATGCTGCTGTGGTACAGTACTACCTTCTCTGTGTCATACTGTCTCCCTTACCTTGTATACTGCTGAGGTACAGTACTACCTTCTCTGTGTAATAATGTCTCCCTTACCTTGTATACTGCTGTTGTACAGTACTACCTTCTCTGTGTAATCGTAAGTCTCCCTTACCTTGTATACTATTATGGTACAGTACTACCTTCTCTATGTAATCGTAAGTCTCCCTTACCTTGTATACTATTATGATACAGTACTACCTTCTCTGTGTAATACTGTCTCCCTTACCTTGTACACTGCTGTGGTACAGTACTACCTTCTCTGTGTACTCGTAAGTAGTTTAGTACTGAGCCCCCTTATCTTGTGTACTGCTGTGGTACCACCACCTCAGTTTAGTACTGAGCCTCCCTTATCTTGTATACTGCTGTGGTATCACCTCCTCAGTTTAGTCCTGAGCCCCCTTATCTTGTGTACTGCTGTGGTATCACCTCCTCAGTTTAGTCCTGAGCCCCCTTATCTTGTGTACTGCTGTGGTACCACCACCTCAGTTTAGTACTGAGCCTCCCTTATCTTGTATACTGCTGTGGTATCACCTCCTCAGTTTAGTCCTGAGCCCCCTTATCTTGTGTACTGCTGTGGTACCACCACCTCAGTTTAGTACTGAGCCTCCCTTATCTTGTATACTGCTGTGGTATCACCTCCTCAGTTTAGTACTGAGCCCCCTTATCTTGTATACTGTTGTGGTATCATCTTCTCAGTTTAGTACTGAGCCTCCCTTATCTTGTATACTGCTGTGGTATCACCTCCTCAGTTTAGTACTGAGCCCCCTTATCTTGTGTACTGCTGTGGTATCACCTCCTCAGTTTAGTCCTGAGCCCCCTTATCTTGTGTACTGCTGTGTCACCACCTCCTCAGTTTAGTACTGAGCCCCTTTACCTTGTATACTGCTGTGGTACCACCAGTAAACTCCTCTGTGTAATCCTGTCTCCCTTACCTTGTACACTGCTGTGGTACAGTACTACCTTCTCTGTGTAATACTGTCTCCCTTACCTTGTATACTGCTGTGGCACCACTTCCTCAGTGTAATCCTGTCTCCCTTACCTTGTATCCTGCTGTGGTAAAGTACTACCTTCTCTGTGTAATCGTAAGTCTCCCTTACCTTGTATACTGCTGTGGTTCGGTACTACCTTCTCTGTGTAATCATACATTACAGAAGATTTTGCTTAATATCACTTCCCATTTGTCAGTACTGCTGTGGTACCACCTCCTCAGTTTAGTACTGAGCCCCTTTACCTTGTATACTGCTGTGGTACCACCAGTAAACTCCTCTGTGTAATCCTGTCTCCCTTACCTTGTATACTACTGTGATACAGTACTACCTTCTCTGTGTAATCCTGCCCCCCTTACCTTGTATACTGCTGTGGTACACAACTACCTTCTCTGTGTACTCGTAAGTCACCCTTACCTTGTATACTGCTGTGGTTCAGTACTACCATCTCTGTGTAATCATACATTACAGAAGATTTTGCTTAATATCACTTCCCATTTGTCAGTACTGCTGTGGTACCACCTCCTCAGTTTAGTACTGAGTCCCCCTTAACTTGTATACTGCTGTGGTACCACCTCCTCAGTTAAGTACTGAGCCCCCCTCTCCTTGTATACTGCCGTGGTACCACCTCCTCAGTTTAGTACTGAGCCCCCTTACCTTGTATACTGCTGTGGTACAGTACTACCTTCTCTGTGTAACCCTGTCTCCCTTACCTTGTATACTGCTGTGGTTCAGTACTACCTTCTCTGTGTAATCATACATTACAGAAGATTTTGCTTAATATCACTTCCCATTTGTCAGAGAAAAACATGATATTAACAGAAACATGACATTAACAGAATACGTATTTTCTGACGTTTTTCAGCCCTCAAAACAGGAAGTGAACTTAGTCAAATGCCTAAGTGGTGTGGGTCTACGAATTGAAGAAGATTGTAAAATAAAGATATTTTGTAACTAACCTTGTTCTTTACTCTAGTTGAAATGTAGTATACGTAAATAAGTATAGAAATAAATATATTCTTTGTAATTTATTTCAGTATGCAGTTACATTTCATATATATAGTTAGTAGCAAAATGACGATCAGTACAATCGTAATTATGATTATTTACTGCAGTAGTGTCTAGTGATGAGGCATACAAGTGTTTGGCTGGTATTCTGCATCAAATTCAATTGTAAACATGATACTTGGTAAATATTTACATTTATCTTGACATGTATACTGCTCTTTCGCTAGTAACATCTTTTTATAGTTTAATTTCTTCAGATATTTGCTGCAAGTGTGACATCGTTTTCTGCGAGTTTGTCTAGCTATCTTACGGTGACCTTCTACCTTTGAAACGTAGCATTTCATTGGATGACCTCAATATGCAAATAAGAACACCAGGCAATCAGATGCTGTGTTATGAAATCGCGTTAAACCAGCCGTAAACGAGGGAAGTGAAAAATGTAACCTCCTGTTACGATAGTTTGAACAATAAATGATAACCCAAAAGGTAATCTCTTTATTACATCGACATTTGGAAAGTGTAATTAAACATAGGTCATAATTTTGCAATGAATACATTCTCGCAGATCACGATTTTACACCAGCAGCATACAGTAGAATTACGACAACACCATGTCGGCGTCGTACGTGGGTTATTTGAGATTCAAAACAAAGACGATTTTTTCGTATTGTAGGTGAACCTTGGTCAAACTTAAATAATTTAAGAAACTTATTGTTTGAAAGACAATCTTTATTTTAATCTCAATCAGCATTCGTCATATTTTACGGAAGACCATCCACTTGTATGCCTACTTCACAACAACGTAAATTCAATCTGGAGACGAGCTGTTTGTGAATTAGTTGAAAGATAACATCACAGTCGTAAGTCTCTCTTACCTTGTATACTGCTGTGGTACAGTACTACCTTCTCTGTGTAATCCTGTCTCCCTTACCTTGTATACTGCTGTGGCACCACTTCCTCAGTGTAATCCTGTCTCCCTTACCTTGTATACTGCTGTGGCACCACCTCCTCAGTATAATCCTGGGTTTTAGGGTTGATGACCACCTCCTGTATAACATCCTGTCCCATGCCCTTCTCCATTTTGTAAGGAGACTGGTTGGTGGGACCAGACTTGCTGGACTTGGACTTGACCAAACTGCAGGTGACCACACCTGGCTTCCAATCCTTCAGCCTCCCAATGTCACGGATTGTTTGGTATACAACCTGTAAGTACAATAATTAAATAATATTTTCTCCGATATTCAGTTATGTTAGATGCATTAGATTAGATTTGTCTGTCCACTTAATAAACAACACCAGTTAAAAGGTTCCAATGTGGTGTATAGAACAAGCCAAAATTAGTGAGGTGAATAAAGCATTAAAATAGTTTGTTTCTCTGTGAGCAACAGGATAAGCAGAATATATTTCTCTGGTAACTTGTTATAAAAAATAATGGAGAAAAGTTGATCATATTTATACCTGTGATGAGGCAGGCATCTTACAGTAGGTGGTGTAGACAAGGATTCTATCCTCCTCGCTGTCTCCCAGGAAACTCTGTGTCCACACCCTGGTATTGTGAGAGTAGCCAAACAACCTCCAGCCATTGTTACTGACCACTGGGAACACCTGACAGATTGATAGTATGATGGTCAGATCTTATAAATCTTATGCATGAGTGATGGGCGTTTAAGCAAGCAGTGTGGTCTATGGTGTAAAGAAATATGGAGTGATTTCTATGGAATTTGTCATCATTCTGTTAAGATTCTTTAGCTGTGACCTTGATGATACACATATGACCTTGACCTTAACCTGGTCTCTAGAGATTGATGTCAGCAAAATAAGTTTTATAAAATTTGGAGAAAAATTTAGTGCAGATTGAATGCACAAGCCAATGTTCCCATCATCATGTTAACATTTTGTAGCTGTGTCCTTGGCCTTGAACAGATTATCTTGATTGTTCCCATATCTTCAAAAGATTGATATCAGTAAAAATTGTGTGAAGTTTTGTGAAATTTAGTTGAAAATTAAATCAGAAATTTGGGACAAGCCAAATATCCAATAATTCCATAGGCCACTTGTATAGCAGAGTATACCGGACACTGATATGTTCACTTGTGCTTCGTGCTTCTCACTCAGGAAAATATTGGTACCCGCCATACTTATGAAATAAGAGTGTACATATATATAATATTCAACATCCTCTATCATGGTATATGTATAATTTTTGTGTGAATTTCCTTCTTTTTTCTTAATAGAAATGTAAGTATTTTCTATGCAAAACATTTTGATGTCATTAAATATGTAGTGGGCATAAAAATGTCAAACAATTTTTATGCCCACCTCACCCCCTAATTGTTTCCATAACTTTGGGCCATAATGGTAATACAGTTTACACAAGAAGTGCTAAAAATAAACGGGCGCAGAAACTGGACATATAATGACATTGATCATTGATGACGATTGGATCAATTTAACTTGTCATTGTGAAGGAAGTACATGTACAGATTGACTAATTTGGCAATTTCTGCTGTTAGGGCTCAGAAACTGGTCACTTCATGTTATATATGTACTGGTGAAAAAAAGTTAAACAGGTCCAATGAAGTATTAAGATGTTAGTTTCAGAAATGCTTTTTAAATTTTGAACTTCAATATTTTGAAAATTTACTAGCTGAAACATTTGCATTCAATTGCCGTTAATCTTATTATTATCAGGCTTGGAACAACTGTGTTAGTAACAATTGATTAAAGCCAGTTCTGTTATTAACCATACTAACGGGAAAGATGCACTAAAGTTTGAAAATGGAAAATACAACAGATCACTTTATTTATGATTAAGTTAACATACAATATAGGTATAGAGTAGTTCAAAATTACTGAGTGATTTCTCCAGGAAAATATTCGTTTGGTGTTAAATAGAATTTGGAATAAGTAATGTATTTACCTTTGATCTTGCAATGACTTTCAGGAATGTCTTTGGTTCCAATTTCTTCACATCCTATAACAAATAAAAACATCTTTGGATTTAAAATCTGAAAATAAAATGTCTTCAACAGCAAACAAGTAAGAAAAAGAGGTGCATTGCAAGGAGATAAGTCCAGTTTTTCATATTTTTGTAATAAGGTATGAAAATATTTTGTGTACCCTAAAGCCTAAAATTTCTTATGATTGATGTGCATAAAAAAAATCTTATCCTGAGGTTTTAAAGTAAGCAAGTACAAATATGTGTACCTTGAACAAGAGGCTCAGAAGTTATCATGTTAATAAGCATACCTGTTTGTAGACTGGCTGAACTTAATCACTGTACAATTTTTTGTGATCTGTATCTTATATCAAGAAAATGACTTTATACTCTCAGCAACCACAGCAAATGTCAAATTTGATTTCAAACTTCTAAATTTTAAGAAGCTATTGAAGTCTTTGTAAAAGTAACTCAAGGTTACTTGAAGAAACTTTGTATCACCCCATCCTCGGTAACTACAGACTTATATCATGATCGATATCCAGAGCTGTGATTTGGAAATTGAAAAGATTTTTTAATCTTTTACCCACTTTTAAAGCAACTAAATGTACCTGTATAAAAAAATCTTATTTGTAACTTTTTCAGATAACTGGCCCATGGCAAACCCTAAAGTTCAATTTTCATAAGGTGACCTTGGCCTTTGATGCCATGACCTAATTAGCACTGTATCAAAATTTAAAGGTTCGACTAACAAAAGGTCAATACTTCTTCAGATTAGATATGTTCTAGTTTTTCTGAAAAAGTCTTTAAAGATTTCAAGATGGTGCCTGTTGGGCCATATTAATTTTTCAATTTGCTCCAAAGTAACAATTAGTCATATAACTGATCATAGCAAAAAATGTTTCTGTCAAAGAGTTAAGGTTTGAAAAGGACTTAAAGATGACTGCAGTCAAAGCAGCAATCTTTGGAATGGCACAAAATAGAACACTTGAATTGGTCAGAACCTCTTCTTGACCATTTAAAAAATATTGGAGTCAATTTCTGCAGTGCAGCTGTTTTTGAGAAGTAAATAATGTCTCAGTCAATTTGAGGCAAGAGTGGCCATTTAACTGGAAGAAAAATAAGGACACTTGGTAAAAACAATATTTTTTAATGACTGGAAATATCCATGCTTATAAATTTACGATAACACCCAATTATATACAGGAAAGACTAAAGCTCATATACAGTGTATATGTGAGCTAAAACACTATTTCAACACTCAACATATTGATTCAAGGAAAAACATTTGCAAAGAATATTATGCAGTTGCACAGAAATTGATCAAATATCAAAGACACCATATCTATGTGTATTACTGATTTTCTGATACAGGCCTTGGTTTTTGCTATACACGTAGGCCGTACCATGAACACAGTGCATGTGATGTCTGTGGTATAGCTGTATATCCTGATCAATACCTCGTCCATCACTACAGCCTTCTACACCTGTCCTAGACATGCTATGTGTATAATTAGCTGGCAGTCTTGCATCAAATGGAGTAATCGTTAACTTAAATGGAAATTCAAATGAGGTGATCTCTATATCTGATAAAACAAAACCTACATGGGGTTAATTACAGGGCTTTCTGTGATTAAAAAAAAAAAAATTCCATAAAAATAATGCTTTTCCAAATTCATACAGGAACAGGCTGATCTCAAAACACTGGCTTTCTTTAAGAGTATTTGTTTAGCTCAATTTCATTCCCATTCCAAATGGAAAATAGTGGTATCTTTTTCTGAAATTCTGATTTTCTTTTTCAAATTTCAGCTTGCATTCAGATGGCAATGCAGCAGATTTTTGTACCAGCTCTATCAAACAAACTATTGTTACAACTGAAGTACACTTCACTCTGTGAGAATACAGTGTTTTGCAAAATATCAAGATCCTCATAAAAAAGTATGAGTATTGGCACATGTGTAATGGCATACATGTACCATGTGATAGCTTCTGGTTTATGTACTACCTGATCATGACATGTACATGTGTAATGACATTGTAATGCCATAATTGACCCTTGGATATATTAATGAGTAGCAGGTTTTTTTGCTCAGTTTTACTGCCGACTACAAGTAGTTTTCCCAGCTAAAAAACTGCCTTATTTTACCAAAATGCACAAAATTGAGGATTTTTTTCCCAGTCATTAGAAATCATACTTTATCTTACCAATTCATAAAGGAACTGCAGGCCAATAAAAAAACATTGGTAACAAAAACACTGCTTGGACTTATTTCATTTGAAACTGTTTTAAATGTTGATATATCTTTTATTGTCGCTTATAAAATAACATGTACATTTTATCTGTGTGTATATCACCAAATATTAATATGTGACTCTGAAAATAACAACTTGGACTTGGATTATCATGCAAGTGTCATTGGAGAACACTGTAGGCATTTTTTTTTTTATCTTTTGAACACTTTCTGTGCGTGACCTTCCTACTGTTTGTTTGTTTTGTGTTTTTTGCTTTTAGATAATCCTATTTTCCGTACTATTTCAATTCAGAAACCTTCTCTGAAGTATTTTGAGATAAAAAAATGGATGAACTTCAATTTTCTGTTCCCTTTTTCTAAATTAAAAATCCTTGATTTATTGGAATAATTAGATTCTCATAAATTCACCTCCACAATGTTGTATATAACCAATTACCATTACGTGGCAGATTCTGCTAGTTAATTGCAAAAGGGTGGAGCCTCTTTAACAATATAGATCTGGAACTTTCAACTGGTCACTGCATGTATCTCATTTTCATTCACTGTTATAAAATATTTAAATTTTCACAATTGTAATTTCAAGATGAATTGATCAAGTTCTATTGAACCATATCATTTTTTTTTCAATGTTTAAAAAAAATGAAATATTATATTTATATACAAATTAAAAGAAATTGTGATCATTTTAGACTACATAACAATATCAAAATAATCTTTGAAGAAGTGTATTTGGCCTACTTCAGAAAAAAAATTGTCAAAGAAGGAATGCAAATAGATAAATAAACAAGGTAATGTGCATATATGCATCAAATCAAAAGTTTTATTGAATGTCGGTATGGTTAAAAACAATACAACATTAGCTCTAGATCTAATGAGCTAATAAAACCGACACATAAAAGACATGCACAGTTACACAATAAATATTTAGCAAAACATATTAAAAGATGAGCGTTATCTAATAGATAGGTGACATAAGTAGAGGTAAGCTTTTAAAGTTTAGCTAAAAACATGTATACAAATGTATTGTGAGTCTATGTAAACTTAAGTTTGTTTACGTTTGCACATATCCTACTATACCGTGCTAGGTTTTACAAGTTAAAATTGTCTAAGACACATACCAGCACGACGTCTATTTGTAAGGTGACACTATTTATATCAAGTGCACATATGTTCAAAACAACAATAACACACCCCTTATGGTCATTTTAAATGATGACCACTCCTGTTTTTGTTCATAAATGGAAAACGCTATTACAAAGCAATTGCGTTATACATCAAACCATTCATTTCAAGATAAATGGAATATATAACGAATGTTGTTTTCGTAAAAATTCGGTTAGTAGGGCACAAGCAGACGATTTTGTTTCATACCTTTTGAGAATCGGGGTTAGCCATGAAGGAAGAATACATCACTATCGCCAAAATGACACATCCTGCAAGAAGGGGTCCAAATATTGAGAGGAGGATTATCATCGTCATCCCTTTTGTTCATTTCTATACCAAAATCTCAGAAAGTGACAAATATGAGCGATATAAGTCACTTAGCACTGATGTTTTTCTCTCTGAATCAATGTCTGCATCATCCGCAATTGCAAAGTTCACCGGAAGTAAAGAGTTGTCTCCCCTTGTTAAAAATGGCAGCCGCCATGAAAGCGAAGTGTGACAAAATGATCGACGGCGGGAGATGGAGAAAATGATCGTGGATGTCTAATAAGACAAGTGTTAGGGTATGCAAATGTTTTTGTTCATATATAATGCTACTTCTATCATTTAAACATCACTGTTAGTCGGGAAATATTTAAAACTCTCTTGATAAACAGTAGCAAACTTGCCGGTTGTTAAATTATCCAAAGTACACAAAGTAAATCTTCATTATTTTTACGTTTACAGTGTAATGGTGGTGGTTATAATAGCAACTATCACTGGGACCGCAGAGCCGTGTGTATTATTTTACGTAATACATTGAATTTTGCTAATTGATTAAGCAATAAAAACTTTCAGATCACAATATTGTATGTTGCGAGCTGTAAGGATTGTATGGAAGATTCCAATTTCAGCTTTAAGTTGTATTGTGTATTGCACTTTTCTGTTGCTTCTAGGAGAAGGTTAATTTCAGGTCCAATTGCTTCTACCTAGCTTAGTGAATATAGTTTGCACAAGTCTACAAAACAATTTTTTCTTATTTTAAATTTTTATTTTTGTTAAATATCATGATGATCAATTAGGTTTTTTTAATGTTTGAGGGGAGGGAAATCAAATGACAATGAGCATGTTTTTCTGATAAATGGAAGGGATGCTTATTGGAGAGGAATGTTCTTTTAAACAACCATTTAAATTCAGTAAACATCTATTGATCCTAGGAAACTAAAATGAACATATGTAGTCAATTATTTGCATTTATATATATTTCAGGTGATACAGACTGATCTCTGAAATACACAAACTAGCAGTACTGTACAACTGATTAAGATGACGTCTATTGTAAAACTACAAGCCTTCTCTGGCGCTCACAATGAATCTCCGCCCTGCTATATGTTACAAGTGGACGAGTTCCGCTTTCTTCTGGATTGTGGATGGGATGAGGATTTCAATCTAGACTTTATAAAAGAATTAAAAAGGTATGAATGATGTAATTAAAAAATAAATAATTAAGATGTGTGTCATCAAATTTAGAAAGGTATGGCACCATATAAAAAAAAATGATATAAAATACCAGTGTTCCAAAATGCAACTAGATTTTGAAATAGGTGGTTGCATTGACGAGAACGAATAGCTAGTCAAATTTTACAAGTTATAATGTTGACCTGTTGATACAACTGTATCATGAAAAAATAGCTTGTTCAGAATTGATGAATAGCAGGCTTAATTTGCCAGCAACTGGCTTATAATGCAATCACTGAATCTGATCAGTCGATTTTGTTTTTATTCAAACTTACAGTCTAACTGATTATTTCACTAAAGGAGTTGAACATATCGGTGTAAATTGTTCATAACTGTTACAATTTTATAGGTGTTTTCTTTTATGTATAAATCTTCCTGTATAAACTATTTCAGTGATATCATTACGTCTCAATTTTCATGTAAACTAAATATTTGCAATATTTGTGATAAGATAATTTCTGCAAAAAGAATATGTGTCCAGCGAAAATTTAAAGAAACGATGTACTCTTGCTTAGAATAAATAAGTTTATGTGGTATCCTCTTAGCCTTTGTACTGAACTGTCATCAAAAATGTATTTTGTTGGTTATTTCATGTTCTCTTAACCAGTAAAAGGTGTGTTCATCTATACTGTACTACTATATGTTAATATCTATGTGGAAACCAAATTAGTTTGGCTTTTGTCACTGATGTTTATCAAAGTTGAAATTGGTTCAAATATGAATATTAACTAAACATTTCTTTACTTCAGACACACCCACCAAATTGATGCTGTATTACTTAGCTATCCTGATCACATCCACTTAGGAGCTCTGCCTTATATGGTGGGAAAGGCTGGAATGACCTGTCCTATATACGCCACTATTCCTGTGTATAAGATGGGGCAGATGTTTATGTACGACCTTTACCAGGTATTGAATTCTACTATATTTATATTATGGCAACAAAGGCTGCATTTTCTTTATAAATATGTACCATAAATATTGATATATTCAATAAGTAATGATAGAATATTCAGGAGTCAAGAGAGTTTCCAGGAACAACACATTAACATTAGCACTGTAGTTCTATTCTTGGGACAAATATAAGTATAAAATATATGAAGTATTTGTAATATCAATATTGAATCTTATTTTCTTTTGACATTAAAAATCCTTTTTGTGCATGTACTATCTGGTCATTTTGTGCATGAAACTTGCTAATTTAAAATGAGACGTGTTGGGATTGTGAATGTCTGTAACACAGAATTGATTTTCCATTTCAGATGTGTTTCTAGCTTTGAATGATCTAGTCGAATTTTATGCCTAACGTTTTATTATCTTTTCTTTCAGTCAAGGCACAACACAGAGGATTTTGAGATATTCAGCCTTGATGATGTTGATTGTGCATTTGATAAAATCCACCAGCTTAAATATTCACAAACTGTACATATGAAAGGTGAGCTTAACTATTTCACAAAAATAATGATCTATAAAAGGTGAAGTCTGACTGTACATTCATAAAATGTACCTGTGAAAGATGAGCTAAATTAAACTATCACAAACTCTGTATGAAAGACGAGCTTAATTACATATTCAGAATATAAGATGTCATAAACATCATTATCACCAGCAATGTAAGCGTATCAACAGTAAATTTTGTCAATCTGTCTGACCCTTTATATAATTACCATCCATTCAGAACTGGTCCTGACTGTAATATCTTAATCATTGACAATTACTTTTTGAAACTTACATAGTATATAGATTATAACAATGCATTATGTCATCTACAAAGCTAGTATCTGTACCTTCAAATTCACTGCAAGACGTCTAAAGTAAAGAAAACCTGCAGTGCTTGTCTAGACCACTTAGGAACTGAACATTTTTGATAAAACTTCCATAGACACATCTTTTTATGTAAACCAAAGCCTTTGATGATTCAAACCAACGTATAGAGTGAAGATTTTCTGAACCATGTCTCGGAACCAACCAAGATTATTTGATGAAACAACATAAATATGAGTGCTATGACAAGAGAGTCACATGTCTGTTACCTTAAGGTCAAGGTCACTACAAGGTGTCAAAGGTCAAATCATTGAAGATTTGTGTTAAAAGTTTTGACTGAAAAGTTATGTTAGATAGCATTTGTTCCTTACAGTGACTGTTAATTTTTATGTTGGTAGGTAAAGGTCACGGTCTACAGATTACCCCTCTCCCCGCGGGACACATGATAGGGGGAACCATATGGAAGATTGTCAAGGACGGCGAGGAGGAAATCATTTATGCGGCAGACTACAATCACAAAAAAGAAAGGTAAAATTACAGTGACTCCAATATTTTTATAACACTAGTAAACTGTCCTTACAGACACAGTGACTCCGATATCTTTATAACAGTAGTATAACTGTCCTTACAGACACAGTGACTCTGATATCTTTATAACAGTAGTAAACTGTCCTTACAGACACAGTGACTCTGATATCTTTATAACAGTAGTATAACTGTCCTTACAGACACAGTGACTCTGATATCTTTATAACAGTAGTAAACTGTCCTTACAGACACAGTGACTCTGATATCTTTATAACAGTAGTATAACTGTCCTTACAGACACAGTGACTCTGATATCTTTATAACAGTAGTAAACTGTCCTTACAGACACAGTGACTCTGATATCTTTATAACAGTAGTATAACTGTCCTTACAGACACAGTGACTCTGATATCTTTATAACAGTAGTAAACTGTCCTTACAGACACAGTGACTCTGATATCTTTATAACAGTAGTATAACTGTCCTTACAGACACAGTGACTCTGATATCTTTATAACAGTAGTAAACTGTCCTTACAGACACAGTGACTCTGATATCTTTATAACAGTAGTATAACTGTCCTTACAGACACAGTGACTCTGATATCTTTATAACAGTAGTAAACTGTCCTTACAGACACAGTGACTCTGATATCTTTATAACAGTAGTAAACTGTCCTTACAGACACAGTGACTCTGATATCTTTATAACAGTAGTATAACTGTCCTTACAGACACAGTGACTCTGATATCTTTATAACAGTAGTAAACTGTCCTTACAGACACAGTGACTCTGATATCTTTATAACAGTAGTAAACTGTCCTTACAGACACAGTGACTCTGATATCTTTATAACAGTAGTATAACTGTCCTTACAGACACAGTGACTCTGATATCTTTATAACAGTAGTAAACTGTCCTTACAGACACAGTGACTCTGATATCTTTATAACAGTAGTATAACTGTCCTTACAGACACAGTGACTCTGATATCTTTATAACAGTAGTAAACTGTCCTTACAGACACAGTGACTCTGATATCTTTATAACAGTAGTATAACTGTCCTTACAGACACAGTGACTCTGATATCTTTATAACAGTAGTAAACTGTCCTTACAGACACAGTGACTCTGATATCTTTATAACAGTAGTAAACTGTCCTTACAGACACAGTGACTCTGATATCTTTATAACAGTAGTATAACTGTCCTTACAGACACAGTGACTCTGATATCTTTATAACAGTAGTAAACTGTCCTTACAGACACAGTGACTCTGATATCTTTATAACAGTAGTAAACTGTCCTTACAGACACAGTGACTCTGATATCTTTATAACAGTAGTATAACTGTCCTTACAGACACAGTGACTCTGATATCTTTATAACAGTAGTAAACTGTCCTTACAGACACAGTGACTCTGATATCTTTATAACAGTAGTAAACTGTCCTTACAGACACAGTGACTCTGATATCTTTATAACAGTAGTATAACTGTCCTTACAGACACAGTGACTCTGATATCTTTATAACAGTAGTAAACTGTCCTTACAGACACAGTGACTCTGATATCTTTATAACAGTAGTATAACTGTCCTTACAGACACAGTGACTCTGATATCTTTATAACAGTAGTAAACTGTCCTTACAGACACAGTGACTCTGATATCTTTATAACAGTAGTATAACTGTCCTTACAGACACAGTGACTCTGATATCTTTATAACAGTAGTAAACTGTCCTTACAGACACAGTGACTCTGATATCTTTATAACAGTAGTAAACTGTCCTTACAGACACAGTGACTCTGATATCTTTATAACAGTAGTATAACTGTCCTTACAGACACAGTGACTCTGATATCTTTATAACAGTAGTAAACTGTCCTTACAGACACAGTGACTCTGATATCTTTATAACAGTAGTATAACTGTCCTTACAGACACAGTGACTCTGATATCTTTATAACAGTAGTAAACTGTCCTTACAGACACAGTGACTCTGATATCTTTATAACAGTAGTATAACTGTCCTTACAGACACAGTGACTCTGATATCTTTATAACAGTAGTAAACTGTCCTTACAGACACAGTGACTCTGATATCTTTATAACAGTAGTATAACTGTCCTTACAGACACAGTGACTCTGATATCTTTATAACAGTAGTAAACTGTCCTTACAGACACAGTGACTCTGATATCTTTATAACAGTAGTATAACTGTCCTTACAGACACAGTGACTCTGATATCTTTATAACAGTAGTAAACTGTCCTTACAGACACAGTGACTCTGATATCTTTATAACAGTAGTAAACTGTCCTTACAGACACAGTGACTCCAATATCTTTATAACAGTAGTAAAACTGTCCTTAAAGACCAAGAAATAATTACGTATGTATAACTTAGACACACTTGTCTTTAGCACTTTCATCACTCCAAGGAGATTCTTCAGGCTGTTGTTTGTGTTTTATGAAAATATGTATGCATTTATAGTATTAATAAGTGAGTAAATAATGGAGTTGAATTTTGATCTGTAAAAGGCCTAGTAACATTGGATTATACAGCCAGCTTAGTGATTTGTGGGACACGGTAATTTGAATCCACAGTAAACAAAACAAACAGATGAATGAAGTTAATATAGACAACTCATTCTGTGGATTTCCATAGTTTAGAAATGATGTTTAGGGCTTGCTTGAAAAAATCCTATAAAACACACTGAAACTTTCTAAACATAATGTATCATTTTTCACCAGGCATTTAAATGGATGTGTTCTTGAGTCCATATCACGACCTTCCTTGATGATCACGGACGCCTTCAATGCTACATACATTCAGTCACGTAGACGGACGAGGGATGAGCAGCTTATGAGTAAGACCAATTATTCTCTCTAATTTAAGCACATGTTACTTCAGATCATTAAAAGATTTTGTTTCTTCAAAAAATTAATACATGTATTTAACTCTGTGCAAAGTTATAAAAAAGAAAACAAGAAATAGAAAGGAAGGTTTGCTAATAAAATTCATAATGTATAGAGTTGCAAGGATGATCAAATTTTCCGAATTGGTAGTATGTCAGTCTTTAGCATAATTGGTAGTATGTCAGTCTTTAGCATATTTGTATGTCAGCCTTTAGCATTATTGGTAGTATGTTAGTCTTAAGCATAATTGGTAGTATGTCAGTCTTTAGCATAATTGGAAGTATGTCAGTCTTAAGCATAATTGGTAGTATGTCAGTCTTTATCATAATTGGTAGTATGTCAGTCTTTAGCATAATTGGTAGTATGTCAGTCCTAAGCATAATTGATAGTATGTCAGTCTTTAGCATAATTGGTAGTATGTCGGTCGTTAGCATAATTGGTAGTATGTCAGTCTTAAGCATAATTGGTAGTATGTCAGTCTTTAGCATAATTGGTAGCATGTCAGTCGTTAGCATAATTGGTAGTATGTCAGTCGTTAGCATAATTGGTAGTATGTCAGTCTTTCTCTCACAGATGACCTGATTTAGTTGTGTTCTTAAGCAAGGTTCATAATATCACAATACTCAGTTCATTTGACAACTTTGTTCTTTATATTGTTAGCTGTTAAAGTTTGGCCATTCCAAGGTAAACAAAACACAAATAAATGAAGTTGATAATGTTACAAATATTTTCGGCATTGAAGTAAAATTATGAGTGATGATGAATATGATTTTTAATCAAATGATAAACATACTGGCAATAATCTAATCATTGCAGAGTACTTGAGTAGTTTTTGTAACCCTAATTATTTGATGTATTCTTAATGGTAAGTTTAAATTTGAACTCTATTATGTTGCATCGTTCCTTTCAGCAACCATTTTACAGACGATGAGGAATGATGGGAATGTCTTAGTGGCCGTGGATACAGCTGGCAGGATGCTTGAGCTTGCTCAATTATTGGTGTGTTGATATCTTTTCTTTAATTTTTGTTATATCCTGCATTTGAATAATCATTTGTTAGGTATTTCTGTGAACATGAAAAAAAACATATTGGTTGAAACAGATGACAATATTTCTTTTTTGTATAAATAATATATATATAATTAAAGATTGGAATTTAACATTGCTGACACTGTTGCTGGACATTTTTTGTATCATTCTAATTAACTTTGATATCTTGTCAGGACCAAATGTGGAGGACGTCAGAATCTGGTCTGTCTCCTTACTCCCTGGCACTCCTTAATAATGTCAGCTTCAATGTGGTGGAGTTTGCTAAGTCCCAGGTATGTAGCACCAACATCCCCAATGTCTGCTTCAACATGTATATATATTTATACATTATATTAGACTTTGTAAATTCCCCAATACTGTACTACATAACCCTTACATCAGCTTCAACTGAGCGAACTAAACCCTAGCCTTTAACGCCACAAATATTAGGTAAAGGGTATCAATATACCAATCCGTCTCTCCATGATCTTTGTTTGCACAACTCCTCCTAATCCATTAGTTGGAATTTTGTGTAACTTGTCATAGTGAAAGAACATCATACGTAGATGTGCATGTAGAAAGGAATTTGCAATTCAAATGTTTTTCTGTGAGTTTTGGCCCTTGCAACTTTAAACTTCTGCCCCAGAAACCTTGTATGTGCAACTCCTTAAATGCTTATTGAATTTTCTTTCGTATTTGACACAGTGAAACTACATCATTAGTAGATATGCATGAAGAAATGAATTTGTGATTTGGCTTTTATTCCTTGAAACCTTAATTTATGCTCCAGAAAAATTGTAAGAGGAAGTGAGGGATATATCTTTGTGAGCTTGCTCAGTTTCTCTTGTTTCTTTTAACAAATTAAGATAATATTTTCACAAGAAAACCAAAGAGTTTTTGTAATTATATTGTTTATTATGCTAGATGGAATGGATGAGTGACAAAATCATGAGATCGTTTGAAGAGAACAGGAACAACCCATTCCATTTCAAGCATGTAAAGCTGTGTCATAACCTGGCTGAACTGTCAAGGATTCCTGAGCCAAAGGTAGGCCTACATTTTATACACTGTTACACATTTTTACACATTTTTACACCACAGTCTTTGAGCTACATGTTTGTCTCACCTGCAACAGGTGTTGGGGCATCAACATTAAGATTTTGGGTTGACATCTGTTTCTCATAAAGTATAAATACTACATAGACCAAATTAGGTTGTGTTTTGATACTAATAACAACACCTTTCGCTGACTATGGATTTGTAATGACACGATGTTGATCCAGATCTGTGGGGCGAGATTTTCCAGTGGGGTCCAAGCAGGTATAGATGAGACATAAAATTCCATGGATTTATTGTAAAGTGCAGTTCAACATTTCTTACACAGCAAATCTGAATGTGGTCTGTAGTACTTTCACATATTTGTTACTGTAATCTATGATGGTATAAATGATATTTGACTAAAAATGTCCTGTGGTTTGATAATGAACTGATGTCATGGTTACTAGTGGAGCTACAGTTGACTGATGTCATGGTTACTTGTGGAGCTACAGTTGACTGATGTCATGGTTACTTGTGGAGCTACAGTTGACTGATGTCATGGTTACTTGTGGAGCTACAGTTGACTGATGTCATGGTTACTTGTGGAGCTACAGTTGACTGATGTCATGGTTACTTGTGGAGCTACAGTTGACTGATGTCATGGTTACTTGTGGAGCTACAGTTGACTGATGTCATGGTTACTTGTGGAGCTACAGTTGACTGATGTCATGGTTACTTGTGGAGCTACAGTTGGCTGATGTCATGGTTACTTGTGGAGCTACATTTATTATTTGAGCCTACATGTGTGGTTTTATAATGTCATGGGTTACTTGTGGAGCTACAGTTGACTGATGTCATGGTTACTTGTGGAGCTACAGTTGACTGATGTCATGGTTACTTGTGGAGCTACATTTATTATTTGTGCCTACATGTGTGGTTTTATAATGTCATGGGTTACTTGTGAGCTCTGCTGGTTATTATACTCAATGTCATAGGTAAACAAAACAGAACAACAGAACCCCAGCCATAAACTAATGAAGATTCAATTTCACGACTATTGGTCTTAAATGAAATGAAATAAATATTTGTGACATTTGGTAGTGGAAAGAGGATTTAAATACAACAGACTTCTGTAAATGAGCTCCTGTTTTGTAGTCCACTTAATGTTATATATCCATACTCAAGTTATCTACACCTCTCATTAACTGGCTTGTACCACTCATGGGCTGGTATAAGCAATAATGGATTCTCTGTTTTCATGTCAGTGTATATGCTGAGTTATAACAAAAAAAGACATGTCTTTGGTTTCAGTTCATTAAAATATAAAGAAAAATCCTAGATGTGTCCATTAAAGTTAGACTGTGCTGATTGATGGCCTTGAATTGACAGTATTCATTGGTTAGTGACATAATCTATTGGTTTACTACAAATAAACATTTCCCAGTGAATTTGAAGTGCCTATGTTTTTGAGGTTACAATTGGTCAGAAGTTAGAATGCTATTCTGTACATATTTACAATCAAGATATGAAGTTGGAATGCCAAAAAAAGAGATGTGAAACATGTTTTGAGTTTTAGATTGTGCTTTAATAAATCTGAATCATTTATCAGCTCAAAGGAAGATAAAAAATATGACAAACAACAGGATAATCTTATTGGTGATAGATTATCACAAACTTAGCCCAGTAGTACAGCTGATGTCAAGAAGTAGATTTGTAGAATGAACTTTCCTTGCATTATCATGTGGAAGCAATATTAACCCCACTCCCGACAGACCTGCTGTAGTAGAGAATCTATCAAGAGTTATCCTTCTTTGTCCCTTGTCAGAGGCAGTCATTGTGTTGCAGTTTAAATACAGTTGTGTGTCAGTGTCAGTACTAATTCAAAATACTTTAATAAAACAGCAATTGGTCATTAGAACGGAAGTACCAGTTTTGAGATGATACTATGTTTATTATATTGCTTACTACAAACTGTAATGGTAAATTAACTTTCATTATGGAGGGTGAAAAAAGCGAAAGGCGTTATATATAGCCTTTACTGTAAACATAGTTTTATGGTTAATGTGTGTGTATAGTAACATAGTTTTATGAATGATGTGACATTCATCTGATATCAACACTTCATCTTTTGTGATATATATTGTATTACTACCTTGTGATATACAGACCTAAATAATTAGAATTGTATAAGATGACATGAATTTATATATATTGTCTCATCAGATCCTTCAATATCCTTATATATTATAACCTATATACTTCTCTGTGTGACCTGAGCTTCTGTGAGGAGGTAAAACAATCAAATCAGATAAGGAGGCAGTTACCGGTAATACAACATGAAAAGATTTTCTCAAGTTTATCATTTGTGTTTGAAATGAAAAATTGACAAATGGTAATCTCAAATTAAGATATTTTTATTCGTTTTAGATAAATTTCCACAGCAATCCTAGTTAAAACTGTTAGTTAAGATAATTTGTCAATCATTTCTTGTAATATATAAATGTAATGTTTTGGCTTTAATCGTATTCATTAATTGTTGACACCGTTGTTATGGCCATTATCTACAATGTGTCAACGATGTACAGTGTACTTCATCTTGGCTGAACCCTTCATGACCATGTTAACCGGTTTTCCCGTTGTGAAGCAGTGTTGATAACAACTATAACATTGAGTGATGGTCATCAGTAATGATGTTCGGGTTTGTTCCTTTGATATTGTGGCCTATCGTTCAATCATTAAATGTCCACATGTGCAGACACCTACATTTGGTTGAGGTCTCTAGTATGTGCTGCCACCTACATTTTGGTTGAGGTATCTTGTATGTGCTGCAACCTACATTTTGGTTGAGGTCTCTAGCATGTGCTGGCACCTACATTTTGGTAGAGGTCTCTAGTATGTGCTGCCGCCTACATTTTGGTTGAGGTCTTTTGTATGTGCTGCTACCTACATTTTGGTTGAGGACTCTAGTATGTGCTGACACCTACATTTTGGTTGAGGACTCTAGTATGCGCTGCCACCTCCATTTTTGTTTAGGTCTCTAGCATGTGCTGAAACTTACATTTTGGTTGAGGTATCTTGTGTATGCTGCCACCTACATTTTAGTTGAGGTCTCTTGTATGTGCTACCACCTACATTTTAGTTGAAGTCGCTTGTATGTGCTGCCACCTTCAGTTTGGTTGAGGTATCTTGTATGTGCTACCACCTACATTTTGGTTGAGGTCGTTTGTATGTGCTGCTACCTACATTTTGGTTGAGGTCGTTTGTATGTGCTGCTACCTACATTTTGGTTGAGGTATGTGCTGACACTTACATTTTAGTTGAGGTATCTTGTATGTGCTGCCACCTTTATTTTGGTTGAGGTCTCTTGTATGTGCTGCCACCTACATTTTGGTTGAGGTCTCTTCTATGTGCTGACACCTACATTTTGGTTGAGGTCTCTAGTATGCGCTGCCACCTACATTTTTGTTTAGGTCTCTAGTATGTGCTGGCACCTACATTTTGGTTGAGGTCTCTAGTATGTGCTGACACTTACATTTTGGTTGAGGTATCTTGTATATGCTGCCACCTACATTTTAGTTGAGGTCTCTTGTATGTGCTACCACCTATATTTTAGTTGAAGTCTCTTGTATGTGCTGCCACCTACATTTTGGTTGAGGTCTCTTGTATGTGCTGCTACCTACATTTTGGTAGAGGTCTCTTGTATGTGCTGCCACCTACATTTTGGTTGAGGTCTCTAGTATGTGCTGACACTTACATTTTGGTTGAGGTATCTTGTATGTGCTGCCACCTACATTTTAGTTGAGGTCTCTTGTATGTGCTACCACCTATATTTTAGTTGAAGTCTCTTGTATGTGCTGCCACCTACATTTTGGTTGAGGTCTCTTGTATGTGCTGCCACCTACATTTTGGTTGAGGTCTCTTGTATGTGCTGCCACCTACATTTTGGTTGAGGTCTCTTGTATGTGCTGCCACCTACATTTTGGTTGAGGTCTCTTGTATGTGCTGCCACCTACATTTTGGTTGAGGTCTCTTGTATGTGCTGCCACCTACATTTTGGTTGAGGTCTCTTGTATGTGCTGCCACCTACATTTTGGTTGAGGTCTCTTGTATGTGCTGCCACCTACATTTTGGTTGAGGTATCTTGTATGTGCTGCCACCTACATTTTGGTTGAGGTCTCTTGTATGTGCTGCCACCTACATTTTGGTTGAGGTCTCTTGTATGTGCTGCCACCTACATTTTGGTTGAGGTCTCTTGTATGTGCTGCCACCTACATTTTGGTTGAGGTCTCTTGTATGTGCTGCCACCTACATTTTGGTTGAGGTCTCTTGTATGTGCTGACACCTACATTTTGGTTGAGGTCTCTTGTATGTGCTGCCACCTACATTTTGGTTGAGGTCTCTTGAATGTTCTGCCACCTACATTTTGGTTGAGGTCTCTTGTATGTGCTGCCACCTACCTTTTTTGTTGAGGTCTCTTCTATGTGCTGACACCTACATTTTGGTTGAGGTCTCTTGTAAGTGCTGCCACCTACATTTTGGTTGAGGTCTCTTGTATGTGCTGCCACCTACATTTTTGTAAAGGTATCTTGTATGTGCTGCCACCTACATTTTGGTAAAGGTCTCTTGTATGTGCTGACACCTACATTTTGTCAGGGTCAGTTCTGTGCTGACATCTACATTTTGTAAGGGTCAGTTCTATGTGCTGACATCTACATTTTGTCAGGGTCAGTTCTATGTGCTGACACCTACATTTTGGTTGAGGTCTCTTGTATGTGCTGCCACCTACATTTTGGTTGAGGTCTCTAGTTTGTGCTGACATCTACAGGTAAAGTTTGTGAAGTCATTATGTGCTGCTACCTACATTTTGTTGAGATGGCTTTTCTATTTTCTCTTAAAAGTCATTAGTCCGTGCTGACACCTACATTTTGTAAGGGTCAGTTCTATGTGCTGCAACCTACATTTGGTAACGGTCAGTTTTATGTGCTGACACCTACATTTTGTAACGGTCAGTTCTATGTGCTGACACCTACATCTTGTAAGGGTCAGGTCTATGTGCTGCCACCTACATTTTTGTAAGGGTCAGGTCTACGTGCTGACACCTACATTTTGTCAGGGTGAGTTCTATGTGCTGACACCTACATTTGGGAACGGTCAGTTCTATGTGCTGACACCTACATCTTGTCAGGGTCAGTTCTATGTGCTGACACCGTGCTGCCACCTACATTTTGGTTGAAGTCTCTTGTATGTGCTGCCACCTACATTTGGGTGGTGGTCTGTTGTATGTGCTGCCACCTACCTTTTTTGTTGAGGTCTCTTCTATGTGCTGACACCTACATTTTGTAAGGGACAGGTCTATGTGCTGACACCTACATTTTGTAACGGTCAGTTCTATGTGCTGACACCTACATCTTGTAAGGGTCAGGTCTATGTGCTGACAGCTACATCTTGTCAGGGTCAGTTCTATGTGCTGTCTCCTACATTTTGTAAGGGTCAGTTCTATGAGCTGACACCTACATTTTGTAAGGGCCAGTTCTATGTGCTGACACCTACATTTTGTCAGGGCCTGTTCTATGTGCTGACACCTACATTTTGTAAGGGACAGGTCTATGTGCTGACACCTACATTTGGGAACGGTCAGTTCTATGTGCTGACACCTACATTTGGGAACGGTCAGTTCTATGTGCTGACACCTACATTTGGTAACTGTCAGTTCTATGTGCTGACACCTACATTTTGTCAGGGCCTGTTCTATGTGCTGACACCTACATTTTGTAACGGTCAGTTCTATGTGCTGACACCTACATCTTGTAAGGGTCAGGTCTATGTGCTGCCACCTACATTTTTGTAAGGGTCAGGTCTACGTGCTGACACCTACATTTTGTCAGGGTCAGTTTTATGTGCTGACACCTACATTTTGTAAGGGCCAGGTCTATGTGCTGACACCTACATCTTGTCAGGGTCAGTTCTATGTGCTGACCCCTACATTTTGTAAGGGTCAGTTCTACGTGCTGACACCTACATTTTGTAAGGGGCAGTTCTACGTGCTGACACCTACATTTTGTAAGGGACAGGTCTATGTGCTGACACCTACATCTTGTAAGGGTCAGGTCTATGTGCTGACACCTACATCTTGTAAGGGTCAGGTCTATGTGCTGCCACCTACATTTTTGTAAGGGTCAGGTCTACGTGCTGACACCTACATTTTGTCAGGGCCTGTTCTATGTGCTGACACCTACATTTTGTAAGGGTCAGTTCTATGTGCTGACACCTACATGGCCACCTAGTAAGTATTTATGTAGTGTGTACTGCTAAATACAGGATGTAGTTTGTCCAGGTCTTTAGGATGAACTACCACCTCTAGAAGGAACGTTTTTGAAGGTCTGAAGTGTATGCTGCTGTGCTGATTCAGTGACATCTATGGATATCAGAGATAATCTATGCTGTGGTATACTTTCACCAATTCACATTAATGTTGTGTACAGTAGATCTGTTCATCCTGTAAGACTTTTACGATACAAGTTACTTCTTTGCCAGGTCTGTGTTAGGTTACTGTTTTTCTTCTCAGATCTTGATGTATCTTGACCTTTACTATAATGTTGCTTTTTCCTACGTTTTACCGAACTGATACAGTTTCTGTGTGTGTATAGGAAACACTTTGTGCCTAACCCAGAAATAAAATTGCCCTTGGGTAGAAACATCACCATCATCATAATATGCTTTGCCGAATATCCAATATCCGATATGGATTGAAAATATAACTTAAACCATGATTTCTTGAGTAAAAATATCTTTATTTTACAAAGTCATAGAACTCTTAACTGATCAATTAGTCATCAATACCTTTGACCATTCAATGAAATGTACATGGATAAAAATAATAGAATCTGGAAAGTTAAACAGTGTGTAATAAAAATTTGTTTGAAACATCTAACCACTAGGTTCATACAACAGGTGTACATACAACAGGTGTACATACCTGAATAACCACTAGGTACATATAACAGGTGTACGTATCTGATTAGCCACTAGATACATAAAACAGGTGTACATACCTGATTAGCTACTAGGTACATACAACAGGTGTACATATCTGATTAGCCACTAGGTACATACAACAGGTGTACATATCTGATTAGCCACTAGATACATAAAACAGGTGTACATACCTGATTAGCCACTAGGTTCATACAACAGGTGTACATATCTGATTAGCCACTAGATACATAAAACAGGTGTACATATCTGATTAGCCATTAGATACATAAAACAGGTGTACATACCTGATTAGCCACTAGGTACATACAACAGGTGTACATTCCTGATTAGCCACTAGGTACATACAACAGGTGTACACACCTGATCAACAGCTAGATATAGGTACACTCAACAAGTGTACATACCTGATCAACAGTTAGATATAGGCATATACAACAGGTGTACATACCCGATTAGCCACTAGGTACATACAACAGGTGTACATATCTGATTAGCCACTATATACATAAAACAGGTGTACATATCTGATTAGCCATTAGATACATAAAACAGGTGTACATACCTGATTAGCTACTAGGTACATACAACAGGTGTACATATCTGATTAGCCACTAGGTACATACAACAGGTGTACATACCTGATCAACAGCTAGATATAGGTACACACAACAGGTGTACATACCTGGATGAAATATCTCTAGAACGGATGTAATAGATATGAGGTATTACATTTATATGTACATGTAGATAAAGGTCCTTTTATTTCAACATCAGTTCTGCTGACTTAGTATCTTAAAAAAACCCACTTGATGATAGGTGACACAATGTAGGTAGTATAAATTCAGGAAATCAATCCCTAGGAATAGCAAAATTATTAACCAATGATATATTCTTCATCTTGTAATAAACCATGGAAATAGACGTTCATTTATCATAGTGAACCATTAAATACAAGTTAGTTATTCATCATCTAGCAGCTGTGAACCATTAAATACAAGTTAGTTATTCATCATCTAGCAGCTGTGAACCATTAAATACCATTAAGTTATACTTCTGGTAATAAACCCTTGAAATTAACAAAGTTTTAATTTTATAATTTAATGACTTTGTAATTGAAATGCAAGGACATATAGTATAAATTTCTGCTTGTAATAAAAAAAAATATTATTGCAAAGATTGTAAAAATCAACATACCTCCTCATTTGAAAATGAACCATTGAAATATAAGGATATATATCATTATGATATAATAAACCAGTAGATGTGAGTACACGTATTCAGAGTTAATACTTATAATGCTGTAGTTAATTTGTCCTGTACAACACAAGTCCTGGAGGCTTCAGCATATGTATTAGTGTAGCCATTGTGACGTACTTGCTTAATTTTCTTTCCAAGCATAATGCCAAATTCTTTTCTGAAATTATCATTGAGCCAGCCATAAAGAAAAGGATTAATGCATGCTGAACTCATGGCTATGATTTTTAGTATTAAGTCTATAAGTCTGAAGTAAGGTCCATACACAGTTTTGTGATTGAGAGTGATTATCAAGGCAAAGATGTTCCAGGGCAACCAAGAAACTGCAAAAAGTCCTACAATTGAGATGAGAATTCTGTTTGTCCGGTTATTCCGCCTAGTTTCTGATCTTTTGAGCGGACGTTGTTGTAACACACGATGTATCTTAAAGTACAAAATGGCTGTCACCCCAAATGGTAATAAAACTTGAAAGAAAAATATTGCAAAGGTATATGTCAGAGCGCCGAACCGCGGCCATTTCTCATAGCAGAAGATCTTATGTATGTTGAATAAAGGTATGTTTATTACATCGTAACGTGTGTGAACCATTACAGGGGTGGCAAGGCCGAAGGTAATAAACACTATCACAGATATGATGAGGATCGCCATCTCCTTGGTGATTCGTTTTTTGAATGGGAACACAATCAAAATGTACCGATCCACTGCGATCATCATCATGCAGGTCGTGGAATAAAATATAGGAACTCCGAAAGTGGGCATGATGATGCGGCACAAAATCTCACCGAATACCCAGAAGTCTGTGAGCTGGTAATGAAGCTGGAATGGCAGGTTAAACACACAAAGCACAATGTCCGACACGGCCAGTGATGCTATGAATATGTTGGTTACCTTGTGAAGGTGTCGATGCCTCACAATCACTATGACGACCAGAAGGTTCTCTATGAAGCCCATGATGATTACAATGGCATAGATTGTGATAATGAAAATGCGTAAAGGTTCACTTGAGTGTAGGATATCATCCTCAATTTGATCCGTTTCATTCTGTTGTGACATCTGAAACTGCAGAAACAGATCGTCTGTGAAGTTGAGCATGTCGTATGAAATCCAGAAAGAGTCATCGGCCATTCCTTTCCTCACTCTCTGGCTATCCAGTGATCTGGTGCTGCTCCTACGGTATGAAAGCACATGTTGAATTGTTTTTCATATACATCCCCTGTACCTTAGGGAGAGCTCCCGAATTGTAGTCTGCTGGGGAGAGCTACCAAACTGTAGTCTGCTAGGGAGAGCTACCAAACTGTAGTCTGCTGGGGAGAGCTACCAAACTGTAGTCTGCTGGGGTGCTTATGTAATACCTGAAAATACAAACAGATTATCAGTTAGCTATTGAAAATAAGCACTTGGTAACAGCTTTAAAAACTTGTTCACAACAAATAAACCGGTGCTACATTTGGTAAATAAACCTGCTGAAGTATCCTCAGTTTGGGCATGCAAGATGTTTATATCAGCTTATATCAGCTGACACCATCCTGTTAGACTTGCTAGGCTAAGATGAAATATTTATTAGGAGATCTTTTGGAAGTTAAAGGTTATCATAAAACAAGTACCCATTATATGATTGTTCTTGAATGATACGGCCAATTCAACACCAGGCCAAGGACATGATATGAAGGTTTTAATAGCTGTAATATGCTAGAGGGAAAAATGTGCAGTAGGTTATTGGAGGTAAGATGTATATAAGCTTGGTGCTATCGTGCTGTCCATGATGAATGATGGCCGGTTGCCTTGTTTATATCTTAATCGTAGGGATTCATCAAATAAATTAAGGCCTTACTGAATGACACTTTCAAATATTTGACAATGAATTAAATTGGCAAGAGTTAATTGATTTTTAAACTTAAAATTATCACATGAACCCTGAGGAACTCGAAAGCTTACCAGCTGCCTATGTTGTTTTTTTGTCATATTACCAAACGTTTGTTTGTTTGAGTGGTTTTACGTCCACTTCACTACCGAACAGTTTGGTTATCCACCTGACAAATGAGCAAAGACATAATTTTTATGTTTTTTACTTGTTTTCCATGGGAATAGAAAATGACTCATTGTTTCTTTACATGCTTGTCCAGCATTCCAAGAGGTCATACTTACAAGGGTCAGTATTGACTTGGAGTCGTTACATGTTTATATAACGTCATCTGATAGTTGTGAAAAAGTGTCATAATATGAAGAGGATTAGTTAAGAGAGCTAGGTACAGACACTATCATTCACAATAACATGATGGAATCTCATCCTCTCTGTTACTTTTCAGTTAAATGTTGAAATGTATAAAAACGTGGATATTTGATCCCACTGAATGTATAAAAACATGGATATTTGATCCCATTGGATGTATAAAAACATGGATATTTGATCCCACTGGATGTATAAAAACGTGGATATTTGATCCCACTGGATGTATAAAAACATGGATATTTGATCCCACTGAATGTATAAAAAGGTGGATATTTGATCCCACTGGATGTATAAAAACATGGATTTTTGATTCCACTGGATGTATAAAAACGTGGATATTTGATCCCATTGGATGTATAAAAACATGGATATTTGATCCCACTGGATGTATAAAAACGTGGATATTTGATCCCACTGGATGTATAAAAACGTGAATATTTGATCCCACTGAATGTAAAAAAACGTGGATATTTGATCCCATTGGATGTATAAAAAAGTGGATATTTGATCCCACTGGATGTATAAAAACGTGGATATTTGACCCCACTGGCTGAAAACAAAAACATTTATTGACCAGCATCCATCAATTCAGTGTTTCCCAGAGTTTTCACTTTTCCTGCTCTCCCTACTATATTCTGTAACCCCCCCCCCCAGTCTTAACATCTCCGATCTGCCGTCTCCTACAATTTACTGTGCAGTCATGTTGTCTTCCATTACATGTTGGAACGATGGAGATAAATTTGTGTGGTTTTGTGACACATTTTATCACAGTGTTTTTCTAACTAGACGCAAAATCAATACCTGCTGATGATGAAGACAACACTATGGCAGCTATATATATATGAACCCACAGTCTCCAGGATAGCCCAGTTACAGCTTTAGCACTATAAAACGCTACCGGCCATTTACTAGCTGTCCCCCAAGTCGAGACATATCACACTACTGTCCATTTACATTGCTGATCAAGTTTCAGCAAATGTTTGTAAAGGTGCTAACATCACATTTGAGTTGAGATAGGTTTTCTACGCCGCACATCAGCTCGCAAAAACAGTTTATCCAATATCTTCATAAAAACAGCTAAAACCATAACACTACGCTATATTACAATACATTTCATTCTAATGACTGTGGAAAACCATAACAGCGGTGAAATTTTCACTTCGAGGGAAAAGACATTACATGTGTACTGCCACGTTTGAATGGAACGTGCTTCTTTTCAACTGAAGAAAGTGTCTCATTGATTATAATTGTAACAAAGTAAGCTCCTCATTGAAGCTGCACAAGTAGGTGATGCATCAAAGTAAGCTCCTCATTGAAGCTGAACAAGTAGGTGATGCATCAATAACACAACGATTCAGAAGACAACTTTCTTCAGTTTAACTTTTCAATGTTACAAACAAGTTGCAATTCTATGTTATTCTGATACAGTAATTTTAAGGGAAAACGTTGTAAGCCTTTTTAGGAAGTAGTCTGGGATATGTCCCCTGGAAATGCACGGAAGATTTTCCTCCCCTTACATTCATGGGAATTCCTTCTTTTACCATCAAGTCCAAACACCCCAGGAAACTTTTCCAGACTTATCCCTAATCAGGCATTGGTGTTATTTCCGTACTTTGTGATGGATTTCTGCAAGACTAATGTGTCATTACTTTAACCTGTAACAGACAAATTAGTATGATTTTGATCTTTTTTATTTCAAATGGTCAGCAGGTGTGAAGTAAGCGGGTCACTGTGACCTTTGTATGCAATCCTTCTGTCAGTCTGTCATTTTATTGTAGTTATCTCTTAGGTGTCATTTTATTGTAGTTATCTCTCAGGTGTCATTTTATTGTAGTTATCTCTCAGGTGTCATTTTATTGTAGTTATCTCTTAGGTGTCATTTTATTGTAGTTATCTCTCGGGTGTCATTTTATTGTAGTTATCTGTTAGACTTCATTTTATTGTAGTTATCTCTCAGGGGCCATTTTATTGTAGTTGTCTCTCAGGTGTCATTTTATTATAGTTATCCCTCAGGGGCCATATTTTTATAACTGTTCCACCTTCCATTTCCACACTTTGGAAGTGTTGCATGCTCAGATTGGGTCTGATGCCTTATATACAAATGTACGGCCCTTTGTTTACTGGGTCTGATGCCTTATATACAGATGTATTGCCCCTTGTTTACTGGGTCCGATGCCTTATATACAAATGTATGGCCCTTTTTTTACTGGGTCTGATGCCTTATATACAGATGTATTGCCCTTTGTTTATTGGGTCTGATGCCTTATATACAGATGTCTGGCCCTTTGTTTACTGAGTCTGATGCCTTATATACAAATGTATGGCCCTTTGTTTATTGGGTTTGATGCCTTATATACAAATGTATTGCCCTTTGTTTATTGGGTTTGATGCCTTATATACAGATGTCTGGCCCTTTGTTTACTGAGTCTTTGTTATTTTTTACACTCAAGGAGATTATGTTTTGCTTGCAGTATTCAGCCTTGTCATAGCAAGTGTTTTGTCTGGAAGTCTTAAAGTCTTATCTGTACTGTAATACGGGGTTATTACTGTACAAATTGAAGTTGGACATCTTCCCTGATTTATAACTTAACCAAAGAAACTCATGTACATGTAATGAAAATCAAGGTAAAACTTATGATAATGTGGTCAGAGTGATAATAACATTGACTCACACATTCATCATAGTGACTGTTATATATCATTCCCTGTAATTGTGGGAAATTTTACATAATACATGGTCTATTATAGCGGCAGTAGTGTGATTGATAGTGATGTATTGGAGAGTGTGTGTTATTGAATAATGGTATTACACAGGTATTTGGGTGTGTCTTACGATATTCTTAAAAAGTACAGGTAATGACTGAACATTTAGTTACCAAGTTATTCCCAGGCTTTCCCCCATTATTTCTCTAATATCTCGTATTATCAAAAGTTAATTGTTTATTTGTGAGTTGTACTTATTTAACTGTCGCTGTCCTTTTTTGTACCAGTAATAAACTCACTCTAGAATCAATTGTATAGCTTATGGAGTATGCTGTCAAAGTTGAAATCCCATACAGAGTTTGTGATGTGGAATACCAATAATTTTAATATCTCTGTTTATAAAGTATTAAAAGAAGCACTGATGTGAACAAATAAAAAAGTTTCTAGAGTACTCAGGGATTCAGATTAGACAGGGGCTTGTTTAAACAAATTATACTGCATATAGTGGCATTCTGAAACAAGAAAAATGAAGTTTAAGCTATGGCTGTTGTGAAGAAATCAGTTATATACAGAATATATTCTGTAGAACCATGATATGACTAGGACCCAAATATCTGAATGGTTTATTACACAGGGTCTGGTTTATATAGAGTTCTAGAATTAGACAGGGATCCAGATTATACAGGGAATGATTGAACAGGTTATACTGTTTAAACTCTGGCTGTTGTGAAGAGAAAATCTTCAGGAAATATAGGCCAATGGAATCTTGTAAGGGATAGGTGTTGTTGAGCATAACATTATTTTACACATTCATTATGCTTCTGTAATCTGTATTAAAATCTAATTAACAGAGTATCTCAATTAACTCAGCTTCCATATATTTAATTTCCTATGAGAAATGTGTGGAAGCCTTAAGCTACAATGTGAATGGTCTTGTATCACCAATTCTCTGGATGATGTAACACGCTCCGGTACAAACTCTCAAAAGTACAAAAGGAATTTCTGAACGTTGATTACCAATTTAAATAAAACTATTTACCAATCAAAAATTCAATTAAGGATTGATTCACAAAAGTTTGAGAAAGGCATCAATTTGATGATTATTTTTTGCTTCATTATGAGAAATTTCTATGCTTAAATGGGTGCTAATTATTGACAATATTTTATTGTGTTATAGGGAAATGCCATCATATGATTGTTTAGAAATACTGTATCTATAATGTCAAAAAAAACGGCTGGTAATCTCATAGAAGTGGATCCAGTAGTGGAGGATCAATCCTATTAGTTTAATCCAATCAGCAATGAATGAGTCCTAGGTATTCTATTTATAGATAAACAGCAACAGACTTCTACAGTTCAATTGTTACACTATTTTTCAACACTGCTGGTTAATCCTGCTTTTGTTTGACATTATTTCACCTTAATTACTTCACTGAATTAACTTTTAGGTTGATATTTACCAATATATGAAAATCTTTACATTTAAAGAAATCATTTCCATTGCTTATTATTTGTGTCTGTGATATTTTACGTAAGGTCTAAACAGAGTCAGACTGACCAGGAAACCCAGATTTTTAGGAGATAAAGGGTTTCACATAGCATTACCAATATAATAGTATGCGGAATACTACCAATAAACAATTGTATAGGTAGATATAAAGACTGGACACGTTGTGGTGTCTAGAGACTTTAACAGCTAGCTGGAGGCATGTCAGCTACAGGGAAAGCAACTGTTAACACGTAACACAATGATATCTATGTCTCTGAATTAGTTGGTTACATTATCTATTTGGTGATCATTTTAATTCACCAGATTTGTTAGCCCCATATCTTTATATAAGATGTTGTAGATAGCACTATTAGGAAGTTGAAGCCAACTTATAAGTGCCATTCGAGTAACACGTACATTGTATACATAACTATAATGGTTACTCTTCTTCAATATATTTACTCTGATATATTGCAAACTGCGCTGACTTTCTTGTTTCAAATGCTGATTCATGGCTTGTGGTGCCAATTATAGTCTGATTTAGATGGAGTGTGTAACATGGTATAGAAATGAACCGTAACTGTACTGTATGGGGAGTGAAGTAACAGAATGTACCAAACATTATAATTACAGTTACCAACATGTAATGTTACAGAAGTGTAACATAGCGACCCATCATTGGTAACAAGTTATGATATAATTAAGCCAGCACGATATTTTACAGAAGAAAATGCTTCATCAGGTGTCGTAATTGATCAATTAGAATAGTGTTACTGGCCATCTATGACAAGGTTGTGCCTCGATTTGTTTCCTCATTGAGGTCCAGGCCCCTAAGTCGGTGAGAAGTACGACCACACACTGGCACTTATTCCTCCTCCAGTCATCGTCAATAGGTTTTCCAGGCATTTTCCTCTCACCTGCAGACAAGTGTATTACGACCCCCCATTTGAACTGTGTGTGTGTCCATGCTGACAGACTGACAGACACACATTCAGGTTGCGATAACCTTGACCAACTTAAATGTATTCAGTGCATTGATAATTATCCTAAAGAAATCTGTGTTTGGCCACAGTATTACTGCAAGTACAATTTCCACTTTGGTAATTACTCCTGCTTGCGAGAATCCCTTCCACTACCCCCTCCCATCCAATGCTTCACCACCTTCTCGGCTGTGTGCCACTGTGTGCAGTTATATTGGTACTGTTCAGAGGTAGTAATAGCCTGCATTCCTATGTACATTTAACAGTCTCACAGTACAGGAACAGTGCATTGTTGTGTAATGATCCTGAGGAAGGCAATACATACCTACATGCTCCAATATTTCTCTGGTTCTACAGCGATTGCTTGGCAATGACATGTCAATGTAGCCATAGCCCTACAGGGTATGTTGTACACTGTAGGTGTCAGCGGTAGGACTGAAGATTGAATTCACAACTTAATTAGAGAGAATCCATGGTGCCCTTTACCCTATGATTTTAATTGATAAATGTGAAATAATATCTTGAAAACCTGCTTATTTAATTTGTCATAGAAAATATGCTCTTTGTTCCCCTTAACATTTTGTTACTTCATTTTTCACCTTGCTAATACATATTTCCTTTACTTCAATAGTAATGGAAAATCTAGAAAATCTTTAACATTTAGATTTTTTGGTAAATTAAGGGGCTTACCAACCTTTGTAGGTAGAGGAACGATTACAATCATTGTCAGTTAGTTACCTCTTTCATGGGACTAGACTAGATTTAAAAAAAAAAAATTGCAATCATTGAAATACTAAAATAATATGATGTGTGTGTTTTGTCTGATAAGAAGAAAATATGTTGTGTAAGAAAGTCAGAAATGTTTTGTGATAAAAGAACCATATTATAATGTGGACCCATATACTTCCTCTAATTCAATATCCCCCCTCATTGAACAGTTTGCTTGGTCCCGACTGTGTTTTTATACATTCTTTGAGTAACGTACTCAAACTGCCATTCTTTAAATAGCCCACATTCCACGATTTTGTATTTATCCCTGACTGCATTAGTCCGTATAGTTAGTATTCAACCTATCTGTTCATCACAATTGCTGCATGCCATCAAAGTTATTTGAGACAGACTGCAGTCCTCACTCATTGTGTTTATACAGGTGTCAGACAGACATCAGATAATTAGAGAATTAACAGCAGTATCAACAGGCACCTGTACTGCTACCCTGCTGTAGTGTAGTTATCATTTAGTGTCCATATTTATTATTATACGACAATATTTGGCATCAAGGTTTTAATGGTTCGTTTACTGAGTGTGTAAAACCATATTTCACAATGGCGATATTAAGCAGAAATTTTGTAGCAGATTTCCAACCATCTTTACCAGCATTTTCAGTCAAATATATTTTGATTGGTAATTTTATTATCAATTAGAATTATAATAACATGACTACAACATCTTCTGTGTGTTAAAAGTAACTTAGAGTTCCTGTTTTTCTGTTATTCTGTAAAATTAACGTAAGTGAATACAAAATAAACTATTGCAGACATTTTAAGCCTTCAGAATAGAAACATGGACAAGTTACATAAATGATTTCTTTACTTTTTTTTCTATTCTAAATACAGATTTAATAAGATATACATGTAAAACTTCTTCGATTTTTATTTCTGAGCAGTTTTATATCTTCTTAAATGTAGCCTTTGTTAGTCTTCCTTTCTCTTCCAATCCTCTAGATCTACTGTCCGTGACATTATGGCAGACCTCAAGCTGTAGTCCCGCCCGTTTGATTCACAATGTCAAATAACTTTCGTAAAATACCATGTACCTACATGTGCCCTAACAGGGTTTTACTGTATAATGTTCAGTGTTCATTCTGAGTCTGTTTGTGGTTTACATGTCCCCTAACAGGGTTTTACTGTATATGTTCAGTGTTCATTCTGAGTCTGTTTGTGGTCTATATACATGTCCCCTAACAGGGTTTTACTGTATATGTTCAGTGTTCCTTCTGAGTCTGTTTGTGGTCTACATGTGCCCTAATAGGGTTTTACTGTATATGTTCAGTGTTCCTTCTGAGTCTGTTTGTGGTCTAAATGTCCCCTAACAAGGTTTTACTGTATATGTTCAGTTTTCATTCTGAGTCTGTTTGTGGTCTACATGTGCCCTAATAGGGTTTTACTGTATATGTTCAGTGTTCCTTCTGAGTCTGTTTGTGGTCTACATGTCCCCTAACAAGGTTTTACTGTATATGTTCAGTGTTCTGAGTCTGTTTATGGTCTTCATGTCCCCAACAGAGTTTTATTTGTATTATGTGACTGACTGATACATTCCTATGAAATTCATTCCTCCCAGCTTTATTGACTCAACACTACAGTAATAGATAATAACACTGTTTTAGGTATCTTTTTTTAATATTTCCTACATGAAGAAAAAGTATAATTAAGTTTGTTAACTTACTTTGACTTGAAGTAATAATTCCACAGCTTGCCAGTAGTTTCCAAAAGTTGGTAAATCTAGCCCAACAGCTGCAATACCAGACAGGTTTAAATCGCTGATCACACCATCAGTGACCAATGTAACTTAACTATACACCAGGTAAGTACTAACAGTGGCTGATCACACCATCAGTGACCAATGTAACTTAACGATACACCAGGTAAGTACTTGCTGCTAGTAAAACAGGTCATGATCATTGCACTTGCACCTTCTGGTCTGACTTCTCAAATAAATGGATTTAAAAGACTTAAAAAGTCCTGTCACAGCTGGTTTGTAGGAAAATTCTACCCACAACATGCCTTAGGAAATAGAGATTATCTCTCCTCCGACATCAATAGAGTATTGAGCCATTGCACATTTGATACTGTGTTTACCGTTTTATAAGAGCTCTGCTGATACCCTCCTCCACCTGTCAGCAGTGGCCAGTGTTTAGCCAGTATCACTGTAGTGTCGGTAACATAGTCGATGTACACAGATGTGTGTATACAGAGAGAAGCCAGCAAACCAATCATTTGTGACCATTTAGTATTTTTTATGTCCAATGGATCTTAATACATTTTACAATGCGATTAGAGGGTGTTCAATTCACATGAAATGAGATGTAAGTAAGGTGTTACTTGTACATCTGTGACAGCCATTATTCTGTCCACAGAGGCTGGGCACACAGCTGGCCAGCAGCACTCCCTCGGAACATACGCCCCCTAATTTATTTTCAAACTTCTGCTGCTTGCTACAACCATTGTAAGATGATGTGTATTTTTGTTGAAGGTGTTCAGATCGATAGCAGTTATTTTTGATAGCATTTTATTGGTGCTACTTAAACTGCCAATAACTTCTTTGTGTGATATAGTGGTTTATACAAACGGTATGACAACAACGTCATCTGCATGCTACGCTACTTTCATAAAAGAATACACGCATACTTACTGGAAAAGGATTTTTCTTTCTATTTATGCGTTTAAAAAATCAATAGTTTCGTCTGTGTAAAAGGAAAATAGTGAGTTTAAAGATTGTTTGAAATCACGTTAGAAATCTAATTACTGGGAGCACTTACAGGTGGAAGTTAAGCATTTTCTATTATACCATTGGACGTACATGATTCCCTAATGTACCCTTTATCTGTTGACAAACTTCTAAAAAAATGTAATCAAGTTAAAGGGTACAAGTCTGCACCAGTTAAAAATGAGAAGAAGATATTCATTTTAGGACTGTTTTTTCTTTTTTACTTGGAGCAGTCTCCCTTTTATGTTGAGGAAGAGGCAATAATCAGGAGTTAATCTGGCTTAGAGTTGCTTCCCTTGTGAAGCTATTCATTTCACATTTTAATTAACCATAACATCCCAGCTCACCTGATTTACATGTAAAATACCCCTTTCTTCACATTGCCTTTCAGCACCGGTAAATAAAATCTACAGAAATTGCCTGCCACATAATTGAATTGCTGTGTTATAATTGCCCCTGTAAGCTGGGATATTGGATGTCTTTAACCATGTCTCGCAATCCCGACAGATAATCCCACACAATTATCTCTTGTTAAGCGATACTTCTCTGACAGCATACCGCCTCCTGTATTGTCGCTGTAAACAGTCCCCGTCAATTTTGTTACTTATATGGTATAAGATCATGTATAAGCTCCTCCCTACACCCACAGTACGTGTTCTGTAAACAGTCCCCCTCAATTTTGTTACTTACATGGTATAAGGCAATGTATAAGCTCCTCCCTACACCCACGTGTTCTGTAAACAGTCCCCCTCAATTTTGTTACTTATATGGTATAAGACAATGTATAAGCTCCTCCCTACACCCACGTGTTCTGTAAACAGTCCCCCTCAATTTTGTTACTTATATGGTATAAGACAATGTATAAGCTCCTCCCTACACCCACGTGTTCTGTAAACAGTCCCCCTCAATTTTGTTACTTATATGGTATAAGACAATGTATAAGCTCCTCCCTACACCCACGTGTTCTGTAAACAGTCCCCCTCAATTTTGTTACTTATATGGTATAAGACAATGTATAAGCTCCTCCCTACACCCACGTGTTCTGTAAACAGTCCCCCTCAATTTTGTTACTTATATGGTATAAGACAATGTATAAGCTCCTCCCTACACCCACGTGTTCTGTAAACAGTCCCCCTCAATTTTGTTACTTATATGGTATAAGACAATGTATAAGCTCCTCCCTACACCCACGTGTTCTGTAAACAGTCCCCCTCAATTTTGTTACTTATATGGTATAAGACAATGTATAAGCTCCTCCCTACACCCACGTGTTCTGTAAACAGTCCCCCTCAATTTTGTTACTTATATGGTATAAGACAATGTATAAGCTCCTCCCTACACCCACGTGTTCTGTAAACAGTCCCCCTCAATTTTGTTACTTATATGGTATAAGACAATGTATAAGCTCCTCCCTACACCCACGTGTTCTGTAAACAGTCCCCCTCAATTTTGTTACTTATATGGTATAAGACAATGTATAAGCTCCTCCCTACACCCACGTGTTCTGTAAACAGTCCCCCTCAACTTTGTTACTTATATGGTATAAGACAATGGATAAATCCTCCCTACACCCACAGTACGTGTTTTGTAAACAGTCCCCCTCAATTTTGTTACTTATATGGTATAAGACAATGTATAAATCCTCCCTACACCCACAGTACGTGTTCTGTAAACAGTCCCCCTCAATTTTGTTACTTATATGAAACAGGATCAATTGCAGATGATTACCCTATTCTCAATAGAGGCATTGCTCAGAATAAAATAGACTTGTTCATTTGTAAATAAATTACATTGTTTTACTGTTGAGCCTGTTTTTTGTGTCCGTTCTGTCCAGTTCGTTGGTGTGATCTGTTTGTCCAATTCTGTGGGGACATGTTGGTATGGGGGAGATTTGGGGTCAGTGTCAGAAAATCAATCTCCTCCCTCTGTCTAATCAAGACAGACTTGTGTACTGTAGGCAGTGAGAGGAAGGTGATGCAGATCTCTACCACGGTGGTGAAACTGAACTAGGAATGAATACTTAAAATCAGGATGAAATCCTCAGGGCATTTCTTGTCACCTGAATCACGATTTTACCAGCATGACCTTGGGGCTTTTGATTGCAATATATGGAAATTGAGTTGTCATTTTGAAATTCATTAACTATTACACAACTTTTGGAAATTTACAGAACTTGTTATCAAGAACTGCACTCTCTGTGATATGTGTGACATAACACAGGACAACTGAATGCTGTATATGTCATATATATTATTATGTAAAATTAGGTAACACCATCATCTGATCGTGTTGTTATAATATAAAAGGTTACTGAGTGCACCCCTATCAGATATATGTATCCCACATGCGTAAAAGTGGGAGAAATATTCCTCGTGAATGCTGAGTGCCATATAGAAATCTTCCATGTGATTACATGGCATGTTTAACAAATCTGATAACAGACATTAGAAACTATCACCAATCAAAAATAAGCCAGGTAACGGCCGGTGGCCATTTGCCAAATCGTAAACCGAAGTCACGGTAGTTTTTGCATCGCCATAGCACACCTACATACCAAATGTAATATAAAAATTAGACAGTATCAAAACTTAAAACAGTCATCAGCTGCGGTGGCCATTTTGGATGTGCAGCTGTGAAATAAAGGTTTGGTCATGATATTTACCTATAGCTACCAATACTCAGGTGACGGTTTGTTGGTTTGGTCATGATATTTTCCTATAGCTACCAATACTCAAGTGAGGTTTTGTAGGTTTGGTCATGATATTTACCTATAGCTACCAATACTCAAGTGAGGTTTTGTTGGTTTGGTATTGATATTTACCTATAGCTACCAATACTCAGGTGAGGTTTTGTTGGTTCGGTCATGATATTTACCTATAGCTACCAATACTCAAGAGAGGGCTTGTTGGTTTGGCCATGATATTTACCTATAGCTACCAATAATCAAGTGAGGTTTTGTAGGTTTGGTCATGTTATTTACCTATAGCTGCCAATACTCAGGTGACGGTTTGTTGGTTTGGTCGTGATATTTACCTATAGCTACCAATACTCAGGGGAGGTTTTGTTGGGTTGGTCATGATATTTACCTATAGCTACCGATACTCAGGTGACGGTTTGTAGGTTTGGTCATGACATTTACCTATAGCTACCAATACTCAAGTGAGGTTTTGTAGGTTTGGTCATGATATTACCTATAGCTACCAATACTCAGGTGACGGTTTGTTGTTTTGGTCATGATATTTACCTATAGCTACCAATACTCAAGTGAGGTTTTGTTAGGTTGGACAAATATTTTCTGAGAGTGTCAAACAATTAAATAGCAGCAGAAGAGATAAAACTAAAATAGCTCGGTCAAAAACAAGACCCTCCTAGTTGTTTTAGGACTTGATAATAATAACTAAAAAATACAGATAATTAACACCGGCAAAATACAAATGCCATTGAGTTGCTTATATGTAGCTAACATCTCATCTGAAGAGTTTAGATTTTTTTATGGATGCATGTTTTGCGATTACCTCTTCCTGTGCTTACCTGTACAATATCTGGTTCTATAAATCTTACTTATTATATTTAAAAAAAAGGAGGAATTAATCAGAAAAAGCAACTTTTTTTTCCAGGCTTCAAAGTGAGATATTTTTTGTTTTTTTTGAGAACTAGGTCACTAATGTCATGTTTTTATACATGAAGTTTGAATATTCAGATGAAAAATATATATTTGATATCAATGTTATCAAGTAGCTTGAAAATGATGTACATGTATAGATCAATTGGTATATATACCCTAAATCAACAGTGGGTTTATTCTCCATTATGTACACTGATGGAGGAAGAATCACTCTATTAGAATTGTTTGCCCTTTTTGAGAAGAGTTTTTGTGTTTTTGAGTAAATGTAATGCTCATCAATTCATCACAGAGACATTTTTCTCGTATGTTTCTGTTAATTCACTGTCATAAAAAGTTAAAAAATAATAAAAAATAAATCATACAAACTAATAAAAAAAGCTGCTGGATCGCGTTGAATGGTGTAGACAACCTGTAGATAACAGTTTTACCGTGAGATTTATCACTTTAATTCTCAGTTGGTAGAACGCGAGATACACTCAGCATGGTAGGTTTGTAATTACCTGCACATGTAGAGATTTCTAGGGTGTAAGTTAGATGTTTGGAAGGTAAATGCGTACAGTTTTTCACACGGATTTTCTATAAAGATCAATCTCCAAATGGTTAATGACACTATTGCTAGCATTTAAAATTTTCTTCTGATGAATTTTGGTGATGACAGAAATATCATGAGTGGTTTACATAATTGATATGCTGTTAATTTGATAAAGTATCTATTGGACCTATATGTCGGTACATTTGGATACAAATGCAGTATAATCTGAATTAACCAACACCTGCATTTAT